GTTTTAAAGGGGTAACATCATCTAATGCCACACTTAAAGAGGAAGTAACATTATGAACTAAAGCATCAATTTGTGAAGGGCTAGAAACAAAAATATTGCCCTCTGCTACAGGTGCTGGCCAGTAAATTAGAATATCATCAAAAGGTTGAAAATATTTCAGTAATTCCATTCAAAACGTGAAACTTGTACATTATATTCATGCAATGCACACAGACCAATGTATTTCCAATGTTCATTACATTTAAATTTGATATTCATAAGTGACAACTAATGAAAACTCCAAATTTGGTATCTCAAAAAATTAGAATATTCTGAAAAGGCTGAATATAGAAGACACCTGCTGCCACTCTAATCAGCTGATTTACTCAAAACACCTGCAAAGGCCTTTAAAAGGTCCCTCAGTCTTGTTTTGAAGGCACCACAATCATGGGGAAGACTTCTGACTTAACAGCTGTCCAAAAGACAATCATTGACACCTTGCACAAGGAGGGCAAGACACAAAAGGTGATTGCTAAAGAAGCTGGCTGTTCGCAGAGCTCTGTGTCCAAGCACATTAACAGACAGGCGAAGGGACGGAAAAAATGTGGTAGAAAAAAGTGTACAAGCTCTAGGGATAACCGCACCCTGCAGAGAATTGTGACGACAAACCCATTCAAAAATGTGGGGGAGATCCACAAAGAGTGGACTGCAGCTGGAGTCAGCGCTTCAAGAACCACCACGAGGAGACTCATGAAAGACATGGGATTCAGGTGTCGCATTCCGTGTGTCAAGCCACTCTTGAACAAGAAACAGCGCAAGAAGCGTCTCGCCTGGGCCAAGGACAAAAAGGACTGGACTGATGCTGAGTGGTCCAAAGTTATGTTTTCTGATGAAAGCAAGTTCTGCATTTCCTTTGGAAATCAAGGACCCAGAGTCTGGAGGAAGAGCGGAGAAGCACAGAATCCACGTTGCATGAGGTCCAGTGTAAAGTTTCCACCGTCAGTGATGGTGTGGGGTGCCATGTCATCTGCCGGTGTTGGCCCACTCTGTTTCCTGAGGTCCAGGGTCAATGCAGCCGTCTACCAGGAAGTTTTAGAGCACTTCATGCTTCCTGCTGCTGACCAACTTTATGGGGATGCAGACTTCACCTTTCAACAGGACTTGGCACCTGCACACAGTGCCAAAACCACCAGCACCTGGTTCAAGGACCATGGTATCCCTGTCCTTGATTGGCCAGCAAACTCGCCTGACCTTAACCCCATAGAAAATCTATGGGGTATTGTGAAGCGGAGGATGCAATACGCTAGACCCAACAATGCAGAGGAGCTGAAGACGACTATCAGAGCAACCTGGGCTCTCATAACACCTGAGCAGTGCCACAGACTGATCGAGTCCATGCCACGCCGCATTACTGCAGTTATTGAGGCAAAAGGAGCCCCGACTAAGTATTGAGTGCTATACATGCACATTCTTTTCATGTTCATTCTTTTCAGTTGGCCAACATTAGAGAAACAAACATTTTTTCATTGGCCTTTAGAATATTCTAATTTTCTGAGATACCAGATTTGATGTTTTCATTGGTTGTCACCTATAAATATCAAATTTAAATGTAATGAACATTGGAAATACATTGGTCTGTGTGCATTGCATGAATATAATGTACAAGTTTCACGTTTTGAATGGAATTACTGAAATATTTTCAACCTTTTGATGATATTCTAATTTACTGGCCAGCACCTGTATGTTCCTCTGAGATGCAGAGGACAGTAAAGATGGAACAGTTGTTTTAAAAGATGCAACAGCGTTGTCAGATAGAGACCGACTATAGTGAAATTTACTTTCATATCTCGAGAACTCAATTCTAAAAAACTCAAAAGTTATCAAAAAGTGGTACGAGAGGACTGGATTATGTGGAAATATCGTTATTTCCTCACACTCTATGCCATGTCAGCACAATGTCTAATGTATGATGGCAGGAGTGGGTGGAGCTATGTATTCTTTGAGTAAAACCAATTGAGTCTAAGATATTACTAAAGGCTACATTGAGGCTATCATTTTCAATGTCCACATGAATATTAAAATCCCCCACTACAATGACCTTATCAGTATTTAGCACCAAATCTGATAGAAAATCAGAGATCTGACCTCTACCACTGACTCTGTTTGCTCTGCAACTTTGATGTTTTATCTCCACAAATAACACAAACTTGCAGGAGTTCTGGTGTGTTGTGGAGATGCTAATGCTAATGGCTAGCTTCTGCTAGTCGTTCTTTGATGTTTGCAACCTTCCCCATTACAAGTTAAGATGAGTGATTCCATGAATGTTAAGTGACAGTGTGACGTAGATCTGTCAGGTTTTTCTAATCCTAGTTTCACCATCTATTTTCTATCAGAAGCTAATGCAGGAGATGGATGTAGGAGACTATTTTCATGTTCAGCCTGCATGTTAAACTCGACCAGTGACCGTTCATTTTCAAAAATAATAAGTAAAAAATTGTTTCTTCATTTTTGCTTCCCATTATTTTTGGTGGATCTAAATAAAGAAGATTTTGTCTCCAGTCTTCTTAATTTCGACTCTTAGTTTTGTTATGTTGCATTCATTCAACTCCCTTCACACATTTGGAGCATGGAGCTTAGCGATAGAGCTAAAGTTGTCACCCACCATTAGCGCACTTGTTCATATTACACTGTTCTGTTCTCAACCAAGTTATTTGTCTAGAGGATCTGATGCAAGTCTTTGAAAAGACATGATGCAACTTCATGTAAAGATGCAACAATTCTACCAAATGTTTCAAAACAAAACATATGTGGCTCCTCTCTGAACAGCTTAATGTAGTCTCTAATAAATGACAGCTGGATTAATCTCACTTTATCTTTTTATTGATGCAATCATATGTTGTATTCTCAGCATGGGGTCTTGAGGCTGGGCATGTCTCTACAATGGAGGGAGCTGTACTTTGACAGCATTTCACTTTTTTCTACTTTGGGTGGTTCAGAATTTATTAGTCACAGTTAAATTCTTCACAGCCGGCAGAAGAAGAGAAGTGCTGACTTATTGTTTTCCTGGATTGATGAAATGATGATAAATGACAGCATAGAAGAAACGATCAAATGAGCAGCTTCGGTAACACAAGTGTCTAAGTTTATGTTTGAGTCACATCACAAAAGAGACTTTTTCTGATAACTAAAATGCTACATTTTAATCTCTGTACCACTAACAACTCCTGATTAAAGCTAATGCTATCGATTTGATTGCTTACAGATTTATTTAACAAATTCGACTCCTAAAGTAAAAGAAAGAGTTCAGATATTTTGAAGGGGGCTTCTTAAGAAAGGTTATAAACAAAAAATATCTCACCTATTGCAGATAGCTGTTTGAACAGCTTCAGTTTGGACAAATAAAGATTAGTTCTGATTGGACAGTCACACTCAGTGTGTTTACATGTCGATCTAGGTCGATCTAAAGTGATAAACTGGGAGCCTTTATCCTAGTTTACATGTACGTTAAAAAGCCAAACTCTCAAATGAATTTCAGTCTACTCTGGTACAGTAGATGGCGACATGCGTCCTTTCATGTTGATGTTCTTCTGGTTAGCTTATAGCAACATAAATAGTAAACAAACACTGGGAGGAGTGATGCAGATGGAGTTAAAAAAGGATATAATGCACAATAGACAAAGAAATAGGGCAACGCTGCAGCACAGCTTATTTGGTACAATATAATATAAATGCCTATGGTACGTACTGTACTGTTTGATGGTGTTACGTGTGCTACTTTGTGGCAATGATGTTATCAGAAGACCACTATCGCGGTCGGTCTCGTCACTTCAGGAAGTTACCGGAATCAACTAGACAGCTGTTTACATGCAGATGAAGTTAGACTCCTATACCACATTATCTGGGAGCTTCAGCGCGTTTAGAACCAGTTCACCTTAAGAAAGACTAATGCGTTTACATTTTTAAAAAGCCAATGTCAGTCTATTTAGGGCAATAGTTTGGTTTTCTGATGTGCATGTAAACACACCGAGTGAGGCTGGGATCGAAGTGGATTAAAGCCATCCTAAAACACTCGATCTTTAAATGCCACAAAGGTTCATGCAATATATGATTATTTAGAGTTATGGATTGTATATTTCATGATGATATTTATAGAAGTTGGTTATTCGTAGTGCAAACAATGAAGGAGAGTTAGCTATCGGTAGCTCATCTGTCATTGTTTTAAAGGTTCATAATAAGGGTTAATTAAAAAAAGCATTTTCCTGAGCTAAAGCATTTGAGATTAGAGCTGTTAAAATGGCAGCGTTATACTATATGGCGAGCACCGCTGTGACTAGCTGTTAGCTCATCTGCCTGGTCAGAACTAATCTGTTTCTTCAAATTGAGGTCATTCAAAAATGACCTAAAACAGGTTGGATGTTAATAATTCATACGTTTGGAGCTGATCTGTTTAGAACACCATTTATTTGATGTCAAACTGTCTTAAACACAAAATTGGAAGACTTTTGACTTTAACCTAACAGAATCATGATAGTTTTGATCCAAGAGCTTCACACACATCAGAAAGACAAAGATCTGCAAAGATCACTAACGTGCCAGTGAAACAGTCTGTGATGCATTTCCTCCACATCAATTCTGCTGAATTAAGACAAACCAGAAACTGCTGATATTCAGAGAAAGTGTGTGTGATGTTGACTCTTTGTTCTTTGTCTAACAGTATCTGTGTCAGTATGTGTTTTGCATTGTTTTTTGTGTGTTTAAGACGTGCCGGGGGAGGTCGGAGCCAGTATGACTGCAGTGTTGTTTTCACTCCTAACACACTCACTGCAGAACCGTTTGCTGTGCTGGATCTCATGGTGATGCCAGGAAATAGTCGTATCCTTTTTATTTGAAAGCTTGGCTACAGACTGCTCTGTGTTTCATGGCTTGTCACTGCAGGAATGAACAACGATCTTTGATGTCCTGGGCTTTTAATCCCTGCAATTGTTACTGATCATCATTCACCCACCGTATTTCTCCTGCAGGATAGAGTCCCGCATGTCCAAGCCAGCAGCCAATCAGAGGTCTCCCAGCATGGTCACAGAGTCCTCAAAGACTGTGACTTCAGCTGCAGCAGATGGAGCAGCCTCGGGGTCAAAGGTGAGCATCTGTTCTTTAATTTAGCTGATTGCAGAGCAGGTTTTGTTTCCATTGTGATGTTTAGTTTAGCACCAGAAATGATAAATCTCTTTAGGTGAGATCTAAAACTGGAACATTTTCTTGTTTCCTTTTCTTATTTTTGTAACTTATCAAAAATGGACAAACTTCTTTTTCCCCTTTATTGTGGGTGCAAAAATAAGGAACTTCCGAGAAAGCAAGGAAGGCTGCACACTTAATTAACAAAGGTTTACAGCTGCAACATTTCCATTTTGACAAGTAGGTCTTGTAGTCTGAGATAAGCAACGTGAAGCATCCTACACTGTGCAATTTATCATTTAGTTTTATTTTTTCCTGCAGGGCTTTAGAGTGACAGGGAAAGTGCACAGCTTCGGCAAAAGGGATCACGCTATAAAAAGAAACCCCAACATCCCAGTGGTTGTGAGGGGCTGGCTCTACAAACAGGTGAGTCATGGAAGTCCACTCGAGCTCATCTATCCTTCCTCTGGTGTCCTTCTCTGTATCAAATTAGAAATAAATGGCTTTTTACCACAAGGTCTTAGAATAAGACAAAAACAAGACTAATGCAGGATTGAGTTGCTGCAGCTTTGTGCAAAATGCTGCAAGAAAAATAACAGATTAGACATTCTGTTGTTGTTCTAATGATACGCACACAGCCTTTCCCCCCCTTCCCACTCAAGTTAATGAGCACACAATTCCCAAACTATGCTTTTTAATTAAAAAGTGAATTGAAATGCAGTCCTGCGAGAAAGATTTGTAAATACACCGTGTGCTGCATTTCCCTCTTCACCTCCAGGACAGCTCTGGAATGCGACTGTGGAAACGGAAGTGGTTTGTTTTGTCCGACTACTGCTTGTTTTACTACAAAGGTGAGTCTGTGAAAAGTGCACTTGGTCAGAGTTTAAACCCACAGCTTTCAAGGTCAACTTCACTGAAAAACCTCAATATTAAACTATCATTTATTATAGTAATTGCTTTTAGCGTCCAGGAGTTTTTCAGTCAGGCTGAACATGAAAATAGTCTCCTACAGCTACCTCCTGCATTAGCTTCTGATAGAAAATAGATGGCGAAACGCTAGGATTAGAAAAGCCTGACAGATCTACATCATAATCTCACTTAAAGTTCATGGACGCACCCATCTTGGCTTCTGACGGGAAAGGCTTTTGTTGTTTTAGCGTCCAGGAAACAGCAGAGAACGTCTTGACTATAGCAAACCGTTAGCGTTAGCATTAGCAACTTCACCACATGACAGAACTCCTCTAGGCATGTGTTATTTGAGATAAAACATCAGCGTTGCAAAGCGGACGGAATCTGTGGTAGAGTCGCATCGCTGTTAGCCAATCCGAGGTGAAATGTCCAAATATCAGGAAACAAGACTCCAAATCCTGCCATCTGAAGCTACTTTCTCCTACAGCTGAATTGTACTTCCTGGAACAGGCAGTTTTTTAGCTCAGAGTATGATTTACATGGCACTCGTTGCCACTAGAGACCATTGTAATAAAAAAATGAGTAAAGTTGACCTATAACGGCTTTGTTTTAGATTTGTGCCTGTCTGTGACATTTCTTACTCTCCCTGGCTTCTGCTTCCTCTAACTACTCCCAACTTAATTAATGAACTTGAATTTTTGATCACATGATTTAATCTCTGCTTATGTTGCTTTGGAATCTACTTCCTCTCCCCCCGTTAATCATCCTGAATAATAGATAAACCACATGCCACGCTGTGCCACATGCTGCCACATGGCTTAGAAGAGACAAGAGTTATGCCTCACTCCTTTTCCTGCTGTTTGTGTATCTGAAGGCGCTCATCAGAAAAGATCTCAGAACAATTACATGCTCTTCTGAAAGGCTGTAACCGCTTTCTTTCTTTCTGTGTGTGTGTGTGTGTGTGTGTGTGTGTGTGTGTGTGTGTGTGTGTGTGTGTGTGTGTGTGTGTGTGTGTGTGACTCGCAGACAGCCGAGAGGAAACCGTGCTTGGCAGCATCCCTTTACCCAGTTATGTCATTGCTCCAGTTGAGCCCGAAGACCACATAAACCGCAGATATGCTTTCAAGGTAACATGGCAGGGGCAGATGTTAATATTTACATTGAAAGATTAAAAAATATATGTCACAAGGTGAGCATCCTGTCACTGTATCCTGATTGATCACGTGCCCTGGCTACTTGGCTAAGAGGATGTCCCTTTGGATGACTAGTTAGCGTGCGTGACTCCCACCTGGGAGTCTGGGGATTTAATCCCACCCAGGCCCTCGTTTCTCCACCTTGCCAAATATAGATTTTCTTTATTTTGTTTGACTTATTTTCTTTCATTTTTATTCCTCTCTGGATGACTGGTTGCATCATCCTGCTACCAAGATCAGATCTTCATATCTTTTAGATAAAGTGCTCATTAGATCCTTTTAATGGACAATTGTGACATTGATCGACCATTTTCTTTATTCTAACCATCTCTTGTTTAAAAATAACACAAGAAGTACACTAATGTGTGATAGGGCCATTTCATTTTCTTAAATTAGTAAAATGTTTTTTTGTAAGAAATATAACCAGTGTGTCTTTAGTGGGTGTTGAAAAGCAAGTCACCCCCTACCAGAGTATTACTCCACTCCCACTTCCTGTTTGAAAAATGCAACAAATGCTGTTGCTTAGCAGACCGCGAGGGCGGAGCCGCTAACAAATTCACACACACACACACACACACACAGGCTCACTACAACATTGTGACATCATATGGTACCAGCTAATGTTCTAGGGTACCTCTTAGCCCGGAGGTCGTCAACCCGCGGCTTTGGAGCCGCATGCGTCTCTTCCATCCATCTGATGCGGCTCTCTGTGCTTGTAAAATAATGAATGGATATTTAAATAAAATGCTTTATATTTTACTGCATAAATGTTACATCTGTAAGCTAATTCTAAATGTAAAGATTGTCTGCGTAAACCTGAACAGGTCCAACCCGGTCTGACTGTGAGACCGGGTTGACGCGTCACGCTTGTGCATAATCATATAGGCGCTTCCTGAGCTGAAGATGTGAGATTCTGGGAGTCTCTTCAGACGTCTCCTGGATGCGTCGCCACATTGGAGACAGGAACAAGCGCTATTCAGCCAAAGTTTCATAATCAGGGAACATTTTCTAAGTGACAAGTCTCGCTTCAGTCGGAGGAATCTTCCTGCATGCGCTCTGGTTCTGCGACGTGCTCCAAGCCAATCTCCACATCTTCAGCTTGCTGTGGACCTTAAGTAGTACGCGCTGACAGTGAGCTGCGCTGAGCAGTGTCCAGCTCAGATGTTCAGATGGGATTCTTTTCTTGAGTGATTTAGCTACATCTGCGATGTGTGAAACGAATAAAATGTCAGTTCTTCTGCATGCGTCGGGGTAATTCTTTCTATTCTTTCTCCGTCAAAATAAACGGTCAAATACGGGAACTATCCGGTCAACACAAGCCTTGCTTTTAACTGTTCTGTTTTCTTGTGAAAATTGTTGCAAAGAGATATAATTTAACTTGATTATCACCAGAGCCAGGCACACTGCACCGTTATCTCCGTCACTGTAAATGAGGGAAAAACAAAATGATCGGATCCTTTTCTGACCTTCCCCACCTACAAAGTTTAATTACAACAATCAAACGTGACAGAGCCTGGATTTGTATTCTGAACAGTCTAAACATGTTTTAAAAAGAAACGTATGACAAAAGTGGCACCTGCTCAGTAAAACCACCAACAGGGTGAAAAATATCAAAATATTGTAGGCAGAGACGGGCTACAACTTCTGGATCCACTTTATATAAATCGTTTTACTGATTATCGTCTTATGAAAAATAACTTTGACGTACACGAGTGACCGGTACTGGCTGCTGTCACCTGTTGTGATTGGTTAAAGCAGCTCTCTGCTGTCCGAGGGTATGCCCCGCCCACAACGCCGCAGCTGCTGTGGCTCCCAGTGTTTTCTTTACTGTGGGAAACGGGTAATAGTGTCTCTTTGATGGGAACAGGTTGCCGACGGCTGTCTTAGCCAATAACGATGGCAGATTTAAATTCAAATGCAGTGCAGAGTTTTTACCTGACAACGGCACAACACTGACAGTTTTAGGCAGAAAATTACATTTCAACTAAAATGCACTAAAGTGCTAAATTATTGACTACACGAGTCTGCAGCATGATTAGACACGCATTTATATAGTTTATCAGAACAAAAGTTGATTTGGGGGTGACTTGCTCTTTAAATACATATTTTTATAATTAGAATCATACAAAATATTTTCTGCTCAAAACACAGTTTTTTGCATCTACCTCTGCAGGTTTATTCTGCATCACGTTTGACTATCAAGCAGAGGATCGTATTAGAGCTGCATACTTTGCATAAATATTTATTATAAGCAACTAGAAGACATTTTTTAAATTTGTTTATGTTTTGAGCTAATGTCATGCACAGTGATGTCAACCAGATTTTTTACTTCTTACGTTTTTACATAAAACACACATTTCTTAGAATTGATCATTTCTTCAGGACTCTATCATTCTTTAACATTGTTGTAAATTAAATTAGAAACTCACTACACATTTGGTTTATAATGGACTTTTTCTTCTTTAGTTTGTGTTTTAACTCAGAAGTTACACATTTTTGATTTGTTGTAGATTTGGTCACAATCACTGACCCAGAGTCAGCCAAGCTTCAGCCATCCGGCAGATGGCCTCATATTTGACTGTCTAATATTTTACAGATGAGTTGATGGCTGACAGGACCAGTGACAAGTGCCGTGGGGTGTTTGTGCTGATTAGCTGTGTTTGGTTTTGGCCGAATGTGTCTCAGTGCATCACTGCAAATATTTTCTCTCTTTTCCTCTCTTCATTTTCTAAAATGCACAATTAAAAGTTCACTCAACAAAAACTCACAAGGTTATATTTGCACACTAGTTCTGCAACGTGACATAAGTCTACATGTATTTTTAATCCTAATAATTATAATAACAATGTTGCGTAATATCTAATTTGTCGTTGTTCAGGTGAGTTTGTTGTCACTTTATCATAAGATCTAATCACCTAATGTTTGGATATGCTAAACCTTATTTGATTGGATTATATATTATTTATTATTTATATTAGATGATTACCACACTCTCAGTTAAAGTCATATAGTTATTTCACTTGTGTCCATCAAAGTCATCTTGCAGTGAACTCTGCCAGAGGGCAGCAACGGGATTTGTGCCTCCAGCCGGTCTTTTGTGGAAAGACGGAGGTTGCTGCAGAGAGCCTGAATGTTTGATGCACCACTGCAGCTCAGGGGCATTCTGTTGCAATCCTTTCAGCTCTTTTGTACTTTGTTGTTCTTGGATTGAGTGTGGATGTGTGTGTCAGAGGGCGCACACGGTGTGAACATAACAGGGTGGTACGTTTCTTCTTCTTTTTATAGCACACAATAGAATTAGTGTTATAATTGTGCCGTTTGTAAAATGAATTTTACCTTCACTGCCTCGTGCTTCTTGCCTGTGTGAGGAGTATATTTAAGGTTAGATTAGATAATGAGCCTAGCTGAACATTCGTCATGCCGCCGTGCATTGAAGTGCATCCAAGGTGCTTTCAAATTTGGATTATGATTAAATCCAGGTAGATTTGTTTGATGCCAAAACTGCAGCTGGGCCTTTCACCCATGACTTCCTGCTGTTTATTATTTCCGTTCTCTTATTTTTTACTCATCTCACGGTGTTTCTCTCATTCCCTGTTGGTCAATTGCCTCCCATTGTGACCTGGTGTGTTTTTGCGTGGGCGGAGTGAGTGCTGGTCTCTGCGGGTGGCCGTCCTGACTCACACAGGCTTCCTGTCGTGCATGACTAGGTATTTGATTTTACTTTGGACTCACCGGTAGAACGCCACCTTCACCTCCTTTCAGTGTGCATTTTCCAAATGTGCATCTGATTTCCTCCATGAACAGGCATGACAACAGGCATGACAACAGAGAGTCATCTAGGGACAATGCCAGAGCTGATCTGAATTTCTGTAGTTTTAACCAATGATTTGTCTGTGAACGATTAAAATATTTGTAGTCATTATTCTTTTTGACATAACAGTTTGTTGTTTTTCAAATAAATGTTTGAAAACTGGATGCAGAAGATTTCTCATGCATTGCAAGAACCTCAATATTTCTGCAGTGTGCAAAGGAACACGCGCAGAAACCCTGATATACTATCAAGTGTAAAAACTGACAAAATTGATGAAGCTTGTTGCTTATTTTTCTAGTTTCAAAGTATTTCATGCTGAAGCTCTGGTGATTGTCTCATCAAGCTGCATTTCACTTATTGCTTTTTGTCATTATGGTGGGTGTTTTTATGCCTTTGCCATTCACTTTCACATTCATTGAATTTCATAGAACATTTTTTTTACCATCAGCAGTTTGTCTCTTGTTACATGCACTTGTTTAGTGTGCTTTGTGATCTTTAGATGCTAACATGTCTCTTAGAGGGGGGTGTTATGAGTTTTAAGGATGGCTTATAAAACTTTAAACACATTGAATACAGTGTAACAGGATTTATGTCAGTTGATCATTTTTAAAAAAAAGTTTTGGATTATTTCGTGAATAATCAGTGATGATTCCCCGATATGTAATTTAAAGTAACACTAGACAGTTTCCTCCTCCTCCACCCTACTGGTTGAAAGTAGAATTACAACTGTCGTAAACAACCCTGCTGTAGGTAATGCTAACAACGAGATAACACTACCACGAGCCAGCTAATGCTAAAATAAATAGCAAAGTAAAAAAACCACACTGTTGGACAAAATATATTATTATTTACAAGTTCATTAGCAACAAAGCCAGGTCACCATCAGTCAGCGATTCTGTAGCCTCCTTTAGCTTCCTCAATCTATTGTAGGCCACACAGATGTTCACTCTGTTTTAGCTCTTTGCTTCGCCTCCAAAGACATTAGTCTCTTACTTTTAGTTCCAGGCTCCACCTTGATGCCAACAGAAAAAGCAAACTTCCTTTTCTTCTTTGTGTGCTTTTTATTGATGAGAACTGAAAATGCCAACTGCTAGCATTACAGCTAACAGCCGTAAAGCAGCTAAGACACCCACCTGTTCCACAAAACTATCTAGTGAGGTTTTTGGTCAGCAGAGGGCTGCAGATTGGTGTCAAATATGAAACTGATCAAGTTTCTAGCTCAACATTCACTGAGATCAATGTTAAAGCTGCAGATTAAAGTTAAAAACCGTATCTATTGTTACTTTAGGATGAAAGAAAGGCCATACTTTTGCTCCTCTTTATATTGTTTCTGGACCTTTCAGGGACCGTTCATAAAATATTATGTGAAGTAACAGAATGAAGGAAACAAACCGAAAAAAGAGCATTTGCATTGTATGTAAATGCATTACAGGGGATGCACTAAATGGAAAATCTGACTTTTCTGTTTTCGTCTTCCCTATAAAGAATCTAATTATATAAATTAAGTTAACAAATGTTCTGTTCAATGAGCTTCAAACTGCATTTGTTTTTGTTTAACTTGTAAATGTTTTATTTTCTGTTTGCCAAATGGATTGCGGGGTTTTATTACAAATCAGAAAAAAATAAAAACAATTATTTCTGTCTTTTCTTCCCAGAAACAACAAAAGTTCTTATTGTTTCTGCAGCAGAAATGTAGCTCCTTCTTTGCTTTATTAAATAGTTTCGGTAAACTTCTCACTGACAGCGGCCAGTGACGTTTTTTTTCCATCTTATCTTCTTGCAGTTTCAGTAAAACAGAAAAATATCTCTCCTCTCCCCACACTTCTTGATATCTCTCCTCCTTTGACAGGCGAGCCATACTGGAATGCGCTCCTACATTTACAATAAGAACTCTGTGATTGGCTCGCAGGCAGAACACTGCGGGATGCGGACGTATTTCTTCAGTGCGGACACACAGGAGGACATGAATGGCTGGATCCGGGCCATGAACCAGGCTGCGCTAATGCAGCAGAGCCACACTGTAAAGAGGTTGGTCTCGCTCTCGCTTCACTTTTGCAGTTGGTCGGGCTTCTTCTGCTTCTGTCCGTAAAGTGCAGCAGTCTCTGTGGCTGAATATGTTTTAATGCATTATCACAGACATCATAATGTAATGGCTGTTATTGGCTGCTTTACATGAAAAAGGCTATAAGCTTGTCTCATAAATTGTGTTATTCCTTTGGTGAATTTAATTTAAAGATTTCTTCTTGTTTCTCATTTTATATTGAGCAGTTCTAAATTGTAGATCCAGCCCCATTATGTGTTTGCGAGGCTAAAATCTATTTTAAATGTGTGTGTGTTTTTGATTTCTTTATTTAGTGGATTCTTTGCTTTATAGCATCCACTCATAAATTTGAGATTGAAGCAGTGGTTATAAATTTCATAGATTTGCGTCTTATTTTATTGTTTGCACATTTACATTTGCAGAAATGCATCTAGCCATCAGAGTCTTACACCCTAGTATTGCACCACAAACTGCATCCCAGCTTCTGTGACAGGACAGATGAGCTGGTTTACATTTTCTGTGCAACACTGCCACCTAGAGGCTAGTTTTAATCAAATCTTCTCATTTTTAATGCTTTAGAAAATGACTAAATGACTAGCATAAAAGTTTCATTGTTATTCATAACCATATTTTAAAAACCAAACTTAATTAATCACAAGCTCAATCACAGACTATGGTCCTTTCCACCAAGCTGTCTGTCACTGTAATCTCCCTCAGTACGAGCTCTGCTCTTCATCTCTCCTGTGAACAGAAAATAGAAACTAATTTGAAGTGACATTTAATGGATACGGCTCTCTGCACTGGGGTTGATCCGAGGTATACTTGGTCATAAATCTGACCATACGTAGAAGTACCACAACAAACGGTTTGGAGGAATTACATGTCGGTTCTCACAGGATTAATTGTTTGTTGTGTTTTCCGTTAAGGAACAATGCTGCATTTCATCTTAATGAACAGAAAATGCCTAAAGGTGGATATTAAGTTAAAGTTAAAGTCCCATTAGTTGTCACACACACATGTGTGTGCGAAATTTGTTCTCCGCATTTGACCCATCCCCTGGGGGAGCGGTGAGCTGCAGACAAGCCGCGCTTGGGAACTATTTGTTGGTTTAAACCCCCAATCCAACCCCTTAATGCTGAGTGTCAAACAGGGAGGCATTGGGTCCCATTTTTTCAAAGTCTTTGGTATGACCCGACCAGGAATCGAACCCCTGATCTCCCAGTCTTAGGGCGGACATTCTACCACTAGGCCACTGAGAAAGGATATTGGTGGGAAAATTAAGTTTAAGGCCTGAAATCTGTGTATTTGTATTTATGATGTATGAAATAAGCTTGCTCATTAAACAAAACATAATTCACAGAGACGTAGAGAAGTCTGCACAGCAAGCAGTTCCCCAGACCAACCACATCCACGTCGCCCAGAAATCAGAAAGTGTTCACAGCACGAACAGAGAAGAAGCTCTGCGTGATGAGGGTACGTACGGATCAGACGTCCAGGGGAGGTCCATTCAGTCGACCCAACAGGAAAAAGTAGGAAGACTGTCTCCGGACACGTCCGTCCTCAAAAGTGGACAGCCGACTGTCATCCAAGTGGTTCTGCCACCGGAGCAGAATGGAAATGTTGTCTATCAGAGAGGTTTTGTGTCTCGGATGGACTCTGGGAAGCACGTTCAGAGGAAAAATACGCTGGCTCAGGTGGAACAGTGGGTCAAGGTTCATAAAGGGGACCCAACAAAAAGGTCAGTCAATTTGCATCAAATGGACTTTCTCTGTTATAGAGGAAATGGCTCTATCTTGTGGCAAGGGTGAGAACTGCACCACATGTCACAGAATATATTTTCTGCATCATTAAAATATTTATTTTCTTTGTGTTTTTGTTTTCAGCGCTTCCCCTGCGGAGTACAACCTCCCTCGGCGCACTCCCCCTTTAAAACCTAAAGCCAGCACAACAGAATCCACCTATCACTCGCTACCAAAGTCTCCTCGTCTGCTGTCTGGCAGCAGCTCTCCTCCAACGTCCAGCAACCTGCCCAGTGACTATAAGTACGCCCACGATCGGCTGAGCCACTTCCGCATGTCCACCGATGAGCGAATGGCCTCCAAGGAAGGGATGGTGTGGCAGCTGTACGAGTGGCAACAGCGGCAGCAGTTCCGTCATGGCAGCCCCACTGCCCCCATTTACACCGGCCCCAGCTTCACCGATGCCTCATCTTTCAGAGTTACTGTAGAGATGCCCCGCTCCATTTCTGTCCCTCCATCGCCGTGTGAAGTCCCACCATCAACCCCGCCTTCCTTCAAACCCCTGTCCCCGCGCAGGCCACACACACCCTCGGACAGACGCACAATCAGGCCCCTGGATGAGATGGGACCTGGGGACAGTACAAGATCCAGCTCCCCTGGCAACATTTGTTCCCGTCTCTCACAGGTAGGCCACCTATAGAGGACACACATTTAACAAACAGTTTTAACCAGCTATGATACTTTACAACTGTTTTACAATGTTCTCAGTCAATTCAGATTGTTTTAAATCTCCAAAGTTAAAACTTCTGCTATAAAAAGCTGCTGGCCTTTTTTTCTAAATGAGAAAATATGTCTAATAACTGAAAAAGGAAAATTTAAACTCCCCACACAGACTTCATATTTAAATATATGAAATAAATTCACTGACGAATCTTTTTTTTTACTAATACAAACTTTTTATGAACAAAATCACCAATTTTCCCACCTGTTAATGAACTTTCTGTGAGTAAAAATGCTGTTCAGTCAAATATATAGTATCTTCCTGTATGATTTATTAATGCTCAGGTATGATAAATGGTAAGATAGTGTTTGTATAGCGTCTTCTAGGGCTCTACAACCCCCCCAAGGCACTTCACATCATATCCAGTCATTCACCATTACACACACACATTCGCACACTGGTGGTGATGAGCTAGCCTAGTGAACTAGACCAAATTCTTGCTTTGCAAAGTTTGGTCTAGGCATGCTCCATTGGAACCTCAGCAGCTCCTACCAGGACTCTGGCTAGCCAATCACAGCTCTCTAGAGGGGTTTCAAACACACAAAGAGCTGTGATTGGTCCATAATGGTGGGCCAGTCATAGTGCTCTATCTGCTTAGTGAACAAATCACAGATCTTTATCCGCTTTGTGGGCCAATCAGGGCACTCTATATGCCTGGTGGGCGGGATGATGCAACAGAGTGAAACAAGAGTATGTCACATTCTTTGTCCAGTGGAATGCAGAGATCATTTGAAAGACAACGGTAGAACCCGCCCCACAACCGAGAGCCGTCAATGGAGCATGGCCACTAAATAATACATTTATTTAGTCTGGCTTGCCAGAGCCCCCTTCAGACAGGCCATGAAAAACGGAAATGTTCCGGACTCTGTCCGTAAGACCTTTCTGTCTGAATACAAACATCCGGATAACCTGTTCCGGAATTTATCCGGACGAAGCCCCTAGTAACAGGTCCGGACTTGTTACGGACAGGGTGGCTGCTTCAGACTGGTGAGGTAGAGTTCCGGACAAGAGGGAGGAGGAGGGGACCGGGCGACGCTGTGCGCACCTATATAGCCCGCTGCTGTAGCATGCGGCGAACCACGGCAGCTCGCCTCCTACGGTACCGTCTAGACGCGCGACGGAGCGCTTCACACCGCTTCAGTGATTCCTTTAACCATTGAGCTTCATCATCCAGGTCTCTTATGCGTCTTCGTGTGCACAGAATTATGCTTAAGCGCCTCGTGATTTTTATCTTGAGAGGCGCTATAGAAATGATATTTTCTTCTTCTTCTTGTTAACATAAGTCCGATTCCACCCCCCACCCCACCCTCCGCCGCCGTCAGACATCTGGAACTTTTCCCTGCTGTGTGAACGCAGCCGAAAGGACAAGTTCCGGTACAAAAGTGGTGTGTCTGAAAACACAGTTCCGGTTAAAACCCGGATTGAATTGTCCGCAAATGTTCCTGAATGTCTGTCTGAAAAGGGCTCAAGCTAGGTGATGAGCTGCATTGTAGCTGCAGCTGCCCTGGGGCGCACTGATGGAAGCAAAGCTGCCAAGCACTGGCGGTACTGGCCCCTCCGACCTCCACCATCAGACCACTCGGGTAAAGTTTCTTGCCAAAGAACACGGCAACTGACATGACTGCAGGAGCTTGAAAACAACGATTACTGGGCAAACTCCTGACCCCTGAGCCACCATCGCCCCATAATCGCCCAATAGTGGGAATGAAGTCAGGTGAGGAAGAGATCCTAGGTCATTCCTGATGTCTTTTACCGGCTAGACTGGCAGAAGATTACCTAAAAGCACATCTCTGTCCTGGATCAAGCAGACTTATGTATGTCTAATTTTATTTCATATGCTAATTAGCCACAATCAAGCTCTGGATTCTCTGCACTTCCTCTGGCGTAAGATCTGCAGTGAGCTCCTAACGGTAGCCCATGGCAGGTTCTTAAGATACATTAACGTTCTAGTTACACCAATCTGTAAAGTCTAACTCCGTCGTCTTGCGACTAATCGGTAGATTCCAACTTGGGAACACGGTGAGCAGAAAATAAAGGTTATTTGACAAGGATGCTAAAATCAGCTGTTAAAATGGAAGCCACGTGTCTCATATTGTCTCATATCAGGGGGCGGCAGTAGCTCAGGAGGTAGCGTGAGTTTTCCTGTAATCAGAGAGTTGTCGGATCAAAGAACTCTGCTGCTGTGTCCTTGGGCAAAGAAACGTCATCAAACCTTTCTATGTTGATGGTGGTAAGAGGTTCGGCTGAGAAAGGACTGCCCCAGAGATGCTGTAGTTTACCGTCACTAGTAGAGTGTGAATGTGTGTGTGCATGAATAATGGAAAGCTCTTTGGGTGAATTGAAAAGCGCAGAAAAAAGTTATTATTATTATTATTATTATTATTATTATTATTATTATTGTCTTAGCCATTGGTGATTTGTTTACGTCTACTTTATGGGATATATTAACCACCAGCAAGTGGATCGTAGTGGCCCTTAGTCCTGATCTATAGAGCTCTTAACAACCAGGCTCCAAGCTACCTATCTGAGCTTTTATCCCCACACACCGCCTCTCGGAACCTCAGATCCACATCTGAAAACCTCCTGGCTGTTCCTCGAACCAGACTGAAAACCAAAGGGGACAGGGCCTTTCAGACTATTGCACCCAGACTTTGGAACAGTCTGCCTTCAAATCTCCGTCTCTCTAACACTGTAGAGGTCTTTAAACATCATCTAAAAACTCACCTTTTCATCCAGGCATTCCCTCCCTAAATGTTCTAAAAGATGGCTTTGTTTGGGTTCACACCTTCACTTTGTTTATACTCATGATTTTATTTTCACTGCTATTGTTTTTTCTGATGTTTTTATTGGTTAGAGGTATTTGCCCTGATCTTTATCATGTTGTACAGCGCTTTGTGATTTATATCTGTGAAAGGCGCTCTATAAATAAACTTTTACTTACTTACTTACTTAACTGGATACTACTGTAGACTAAATACGCAGTTTTTGAGTTTTAGGCATTAATTGATTAATTGTATTAATTTACCATATCTTTTCATCGTGTGGAGAAAACGTGTAGTGATTAGTCAAACAAGTACAAGAGCATAAATCCTACCTACAGTCTCAGCTACTGTGATTTATTGCCTCTGTAAACCGGGAACAACGCCATCGACGTGAGAAAAGATGCATCGCTGTGGTTGTTCTCAGAGTGCTGTTGAACAGCGAGCACAGAGACCTGCTCGTCTAATGTATGGATGAGAATCTGTTCTTTCATAAATGTCCTCAGTCATTTAGGCTTTAACACTGTAACGCAGGCACACGGCACCCACCCACAGCCTGTCATTGGCCTGGGACAGAACGAAGAGCTGATGAATCTCACGAAGTCAGCCGAATGACAATGTTTTTATTCTCACGGTAGCCAGTGATGTCAGCATGTTGCGAGCTCACAGTGGGGCCCATGGGAAGACTGGGGCGAGAAGCCTGAGAAGGCTCCAACGTTTCAGCGCGCCCACTTTGAAGCTCATGTGATTCACATCGTCCACGCCCAGGAGCACTCCACAGGTGGTGTGAGTAAAAACTTGCCGCGCTGTCGTTCCTCCAACCAGCAGAGCGCCCAGACAGCACCGCCACCGCCGCAGGAGACGGAGCGAGAGGCTGTCCCGTACTCCACACCCTGCGCGGTCTCCTCACCACACCCTCCACATGTGAAAAGTCCTTCCTCTGAGCGGTCGCCGCAGCTGCCAGCAACACACAAGCTTCACGACCAACCCGCTGGCCTCGCACAAGTAAACAAAGTGTTGCAGATGCTCTGTTTCTCCCATCATTCACTCACGTGTCAGAACTCTAATTACTACCGCCGGATGGAGTGAGGCACAATTATAGAAAACCCTTTAAAGGAAGACGCATGCTTAACAAAGGCAGCCACAGTGCCTGCACAAGTAGGCGATGTTTATGGACACTAATTTTAGTTTGAACTTGAAGCTTCAACACAGTCAGTATCTCAGAGGCCGATGGTGCTCTTGCCAGAGTGCGCTTAAGTAATACTGATCTGCATGCCGCTGTGGAATATCATTAGGAAGTACAGTATGTTTTATTAGTGGCTAATCCAATTTGCCCAGGGCTTCTCAGCACCCTATAAACATCTTTACTGTATCCCAAACATCAGCAGCAGTCTCTTTCTTCTGATCTCGCATTTAAATAAAAAACCTATTATACAGCAAAAAAATGGTGGCATGGGAATCTCAAAGGGAATGGCTTACAGGGCTTCTCTTGCTGGTAGCAAACAAATGTTATTTTAAGAAAGCAGGTTTGGTATAATTTATACGTAGTTAATTAAATCTCTTGTTGTTTGTGTCCTTTTAAGGTTCTGTAGCGGGTCGAGTTTTCTCGCTAAATCTGTGTGTTAAGCAAAAATGTCAAATCTTCCAAGGCCCGGCAGCATCTGGAACTGCAGGCACACCTTGTTTCAAACAAGGTTAGGCGTGATAGCTGGGGTAAAACATAAAAATACTAAAAGTGGAGGGAAAATAAATCTGCTGTGCAGTCCAATTTGTTTTGAAACTTCGAGGCGATGATTGAGCTCCGGTTTTGTGTGAGACTGAGGAACCTTTCTTTTATTTTGTACTTTTTATTCTTAATTACACTGAATTAAAAAATTCTGCATTATTTAAACACAATTTTAAAATAATCAGATGAATTGTGTTTCTCCAGACTTCCCAGTTGGAGAGACGGTCTGTGCCGGCGATGGGCTACATCACACACACAGTCAGTGCTCCTAGCCTGCATGGGAAGACGGTAGGACCCTCTGTAATGGTTACCTGCAGGATTTTGTTATATTAGTTATATTAAAATGACTGAAGCTGTCGGTGATCTGATGAATAATCCAGATTAGTCTAGTTTTATTCATTCTTATTCTACTGGCTTGATATTTATTCTCTTTTTAGGAATTCATTGATTGTGGTTTTAAGAGCCGATACCAAATTTTGATTTTCGTACAGCTCTGACCTGCCAGCACCAGCTTATGGCTGATTCTGATTCGTCGCAATTTGTGATTAATCTGAAAAACTAATCTGTTACTAATACTGAATTACTGTTTAGCAATGGTGAGTTTGCAGACACCCTCAAAAGTCAGAATTTGTAGTGCTGCTTGGCAACAATGTGTTCATGGGATGGAAAAAAAAATCGAATTGGCCAATCGTCAATTAAGACGATAATTTTCAATACAAGCCAATTCAGCAGCTGCCATTTTAGTGCGTGTCTAATTCTTCTGAATGGAGGTGATCCTTCAGCTTTCTAACGATCTCCACAGTGCAGCTCTAGAGCAGATCTATTTTAAACGACTTTCAGCTAATAATGGCCTGTGTGCTACTTGGCTCTTAACACTACTATGGCTAAGGCACTTTTTTTACCCGGATGGTTATCAGATATCTTCTCTCATCCCTCTGTACCTCCACTGGCCCGTGGCTGCCTCCTTAAACCCTGGTTTGGCTACAGCCAGAGGAGCTGACTCTGCTCCTCATTCAACTTCGGAGGCACCAGGCCAAGATGGCTGGTGTGCATAGCCCCAGCAATGCGTTCGCTCACCTGCAGCGCCACCAGCACAACGGCCTTCTGGGCCACAGCATGCAGGTCAGGGACCCTCATTCTTCTGCATCCGCTGCCAGTGCATCGTGGTCTCTCCTCTGCCCCTCCCCAGCCATCCCTACTCACCACCTCCCTGTCTTTTTGACAGACTCTGCAGTCTCTTGGTACTGCTTGGTTGTCTGTGTTTACCCAACCATTTTGCCATGGGCTGTTTACTTACTACGTCATTTCAGCTGATGCCACCTATCTTAACATGACAGATTTGGGTGTATTTAAATGCACCTGCCATATCTGGAGCATGTCGCTTGACAAATGTGCTTGAACTCCGTTTCGTTTGATGGATGTAAAGTCAGATATCGAATACCCAAAATAATTAGAAGCCACATTTGTATTTGTGTGCTCTCCTGGGGTTATCATTCTGAAGCAGCCATCTCTTTCCGAGCCTGAGTGGAAAGTCCTCTGCTGTACGAACAGCAGAACCACAATGAAGCCCCGGCGGTGCTCAGTAACGAGAACTCCACCCAAGTTCTGACATCTAACCCTTCTTTGGCCATCCTCCATCCTCATGAGGAAATATAAACACCCAGCTTGACCACATGCCCTGAACAGGACCCATGCTGCTCGGTTTGTTTAAGAGGTCACACACGAGACATTAAACCAGTTCCAAAATGACATAATCACCTAATTACTGTTTAGCTTTACTAATTGCAGATGAAAATACTGAGGTGGAAGGAAGAAGACTGTAATTGAGACCCAGTTAATTAAAGTTCTGTTAGCAAAGCCTCAGGAGTCATCTGGTTACCCATTATCCTCTGCAGCTTCGTTTCAAATGACTTATCTCTCCGCTGCTCATTTAAAGGCTGATGATACTTACATACAACTGAAGAAGGACCTGGAGTATCTAGATTTGAAGGTGGGCCCCAACAAAATAAATGTCACCCCATCCTTTTTGATCCTGTTTTCATTCTTCCCTCTCTGGTCTCCTCCAACATCTGCCTCCCAGTCTCTCCCTGTCTTTCCCGGTCTGTCCTCCCTTCCATCCTGTTTTCTACGGTCTTGTTTTGGTAGAATGAACTTTACAAAATCTTAAATTTCGAATGTAATTGTAATAAAGCTGCTTTTGCATTACTGATTAAACAAATCAAGCATATATTCCAGTGGAAGTTGTGTTTTTACAAAATTATATTTTTATAATTTACTGACTTTTAGATCCGCAGCTAAGGTTTTCATTCTTAAAACCTCTAAATCTGATATTTTTAGTACTCAATTGGCTCGGATTCAAATGCCACTCGCCAAACATATACTCCCAACTCCCTCACATTTAATAGCCTCCACTTCAAAGTCTAAATGTATTGTTGGTGTGCAAACACATTTAAACAACCAATGTTGCTGCTTTCCAAATACAAAGTGATGCATCCCTGGAAATTATGCAGGGTTTGACACACGCTTGCCTCCTGGGCTGTGAGAAACCTTAACAACGGTCTGATTTGAGGTGAAGTTTGGGGAAAGTGTGAGGGTAAAGGGCTTCCTTGCATGTAAAGCAGCATTTCTGTTTGTACTGGAAGTCTGGTTCTGCTCATGTTTGCCTGCTGGAGCGTAAGAAGTGCCCTAATTACCCAAAGTTGCTCTTTCAGAATTATATCGGCAATAGGGTAAAGGTAGCATCAGCAACCAGGAGCACCGTATATGAGCACTGGTACAGAAGACACATTTTATATTTAATGCAGAAATATCACATTTCTTTAAAGAAATCGATGTTTTTAGAAATATGAGTGTTTATCACTGATCGACTAATGAAGTTTTCCCAAAAAAGGTAATTATCTCAATTTATCCACCAACTCTTCACACTAGGAGTAGAACTATATCGGTCAGCCTTATGTATCCGGCCGATAGATGCTATCTGCAATATATCTGCATTCTTCTTCTTCTTCTTCTTCTTGTTCTTCTTCTTCTTGTTCTTCTTGTTCTTCTTCTTCTTGTTCTTCTTCTTCTTCTTCTTCTTGTTCTTCTTCTTCTTCTTCTTCTTGTTCTTCTTCTTCTTCTTCTTGTTCTTCTTCTTCTTGTTCTTCTTGTTCTTCTTCTTCTTCTTCTTCTTGTTCTTCTTGTTCTTCTTCTTCTTCTTCTTCTTCTTCTAATAATAATAATAATAATGTTTATTTATTTGGCAGACGCTTCTATCCAAAGCGACGTACAATTTATAACCTATAGGGCATGTTGTGATCTGTGGGGGAAACCGGAGTACCCGGAGGAAACCCACGCATGCATGGGGAGAACATGCTACGCCACGCAGAAAGGCCGCAGCCGAGTTTAGGACCTGCAACCTTCTTGCTGCGAGGCAACGCTGCTAACAGCTGCGCCACCATGCAATTTAATTAAAGACAGTTAAAAGTTAAAGTCCCATTAGTTGTCACACACACAGGTGTGTGTGCGAAATTTATTCTCCGCATTTGACCCATCCCCTGGGGGAGCGGTGAGCTGCAGACACAGCCGCGCTCAGGAACTATTTGGTGGTTTAACCCCCCAATCCAACCCCTTAATGCTGAGTGTCAAGCAGGGAGGCATTGGGTCCCATTTTTCAAAGTCTTTGGTATGACCCAACCAGGAGTCAAACCCCTGATCTCCCAGTCTCAGGGCGGACACTGTACCACTAGGCCACTGAGAAAGGTATCTGACTTTAAAGTCAGATGCATACCCGGGCAGCCCAGTGCTGTTGCAGAATTGCGCTAAAGATTTATTTAAACTAAAATAGCTTTTTCTTTAGCAGTTTTGAATATTTAATACTTAATAATCAATTTAACTTTAGTTAGATATCTGTTTTCTATAACTATTTCAACTTCAGAAATTTTGTGCATCTAGATATCAGACCCAAAATGTCAGCAGCAAAAATCAGCCATCGACTCACCATGACCTTTAGTTATTGGCGTCGGTATCGGCAATAGAAAAACCAATATCGGTCAGCCTCTACTTCTCACATGATGTAGTCCAACCAGCTTCACTAATAACGTTACTATTCATCAGTGTGCTGGCTGTAGCGATCCCCTGCCTCATGATTACGCCGCCTACACGTTTTAACATTATCAGCCACGAGTGACAACTGCCCCCCGTCAACTCCCAGCAGTTTGAAAAAAAGCACCAGATGACATGATGGTTCCAGTCCGTTTTGGTTTGTGTTGACAAATTTGTAAAAACTAGCATTCTATTTAAAAAACTCACACAAAAATGATATAATAAACTTATTTAGACCTGCCTTTAAAGAAAAGTGGAACCCATTTGACATCCCTGAAATAAGAAGAAACATTCATTTGTGTTTGGATTCTTATTCATGATAATTGTCTAAATAAATGATTTTATTAAGCACAGAAAAAAAACAGATAAAGAACTAGAATTAAACGATTTTACAATGTTTTAAAATACATTTTAGTATCACGAATAATGTAGTTGTGTTCATGTGCCAGACTAAACATTTACAGGTGAGTTTCTTTTGGCATTTGTTACACACATTTAGCAATATAATTGTGCCAGAATTTCATTTTATTCAGGTATTTTCTTTGTGGTGGAAATGGTTTGAATTGAATTCGTCAGTCATTTTTTATTATTATAAACTTATTAGCAGTCATTTGGATGTAATTATAGAAACATATCAGTTAGCTTTTTGAATTATTTTACAGAGGTGATGGGAATATTTAGAAAATAATTTTCATGACCACAAAAACTTAATTTACCCTCAGATCGTGAAAAAGTTTGCAACAAATGTTCATTAATTTACAAAGAAAGCATTAGCTTCGTAACCTCTAATGTAAAATGATGCAACTTCAGGGAGTGCAGATGTTTCGCCACGAGATTAGGGTTAGGATGCAGGTGAACGTCCTTCTGGATCTGGAGTTAAACTGAAGAAGACGATAATGAAACCTGAATGAACAAAAAAAGCTTTCATATCTATAAAAACTAATGGATTCACTAGATTTCATGGGTTCACCATACTGCAGTACTAGATGAGTTAAGCTGTCTTTATGGTAATTAGAATTTATCAAATACATTTTGAAATTGAATAAAGTTGCATATCTCTCATGTTCTGAACAAGTTATAATTAATGTTTATGTTTATGTTTATTTATTTGGCAGACGCTTTTATCCAAAGCGACTTACAATTTATAACCTATAGGGCGTGTTGTGATCTGTGGGGGAAACCGGAGAACCCGGAGGAAACCCACGCACGCATGGGGAGAACACGCAACTCCACGCAGAAAGGCCGCAGCCGAGCCGAGTTTCGAACCTGCAACCTTCGTGCTGCGAGGCAAAAATGCTAACCACTGCGCCACCATGCAGCCCAATATATACTTATAACAATAATGGCCATAATGTGCTAAGATGTTTACATGTCAAAATCTGTGAGAAGGTTGATCACAAGATAAACGCCCATTTTCAAAAAACATGCTAAGTCCACTGTACTACCAGTGTACTACCAGTGTACTACCAGTGTACTACCAGTGTACTACCAGTGTACAACAATGTTCCAGTAGATTTGATGTTTTAAGAACTGGTGGAACAACGATCGAAGGAAAAATGAACCTTTGCATGCTAATTGTTGATCCAACAGGATAAGACTAAAACAGCAGCATCCTGTGCAGGATGAATTATACAGACAACACAACAATATTTCAATATAGCCCTAAGGCCAAATAAAAATATTAAAAAAGAAAATGAAGAAATCTTTTTGTTTTTTTAAACCTGAGTGATAGACTCAATTTCCTTTGTATATGTTTCCATTTTGGAATTTTAAATCATTTTATGGATTTGTGTATTGGTCATTTAAAATCAATGCACCTGTTCAAAACTAGATGCCTGAATAACACAGCTGCGTGAGTCCAGATCTGTTCAGATCTTTTCTTCCTTATAGTGAAGTGTTGGTGTTACGTTAATCAGCCCAGAGAGAGCAGCTCTGATGTTTTAGGGCACGATGATAATAAAACAAAGTTTCCAGTAGTATTTTTTCCCCTGTTGCCTGATTAATCTTGACTTGCGCAGCAGTCTTACTGTATGTTCCGATCTCCATACATGTCATCAATTCATTTTATTTTATGATTATTGTGAACTCCAGGTGACTGGACGAGAGAGTTTGAAAAAAGAGAGACCATTGAGGCCTGTGAAAATAGCAGAAAGCGATGCGGATGTGAGTAAATTACAACGTTCTCACGATTCACAAAATAAGCGCCTGCCTTGTTTACCCATCCCTTTTCTTTTAACATCCTCATTTCCGACATCTTACAATCCACTACAGAGACACAGCTGACTTTAGTCAGACTTTACAATGTTTTTAGTGTGGTTTTTTTCCAGTGTGTGTGTTCTTAAGTTGTGGTAAACAGAGGCAGCAGAGGGAAGGGAACGTGTGTACACTGCAACACTGTGGGGACACGCTTCCACGCTGCACAGTGAGGGCCTGAGAGTATCAACCACAGCTTTTATTTTCCTCCCTACAATTTAAAGGGAAAAATACATGTAATGGGAATTTTTTTAGCTGTCGAGCTGTTTAATTTTTCAGTTTGATTTGCCTGATCTCGCTTTTTCTCACTCTTTGTTTTGTGGTGAATGGAGGTAAATAGAATGGATGTCCTGGCTTTTCATCATTAGCATTGTTCCACTTTAACAATTTATAAGAATTTGCCAGTAAATTTGTCTGAGCAATGAATATTTCATGCAATTAAAAACAACAATATGTGGCAGCAAAATAAAAAACAGCTTAATTATTAATTGAACAGAATGATAAATAGATCTGAGGAGGGGGGTGGGGGGTGGGGTGGGGGGAGAAAACACTGTGTGAAAAGACTGAATTCGGCAGTCTTATGTTGTTTTCATAAACACATAACCCATTTCTGGGAAAACAAATCTGTCACTCTGAGTGAACACAGCTTTCTCCAAAAGTGAACGTGAAAATATGGATTTTTGATTATGATTGCTCATAATGGGTAATACCAATCCTTACCCCTGAACTTACACGGCATCGAGCCTTTTGATATTTTTTTCACTGCGCTGATGAGAACTCCCCTGGGCTTTTTTTTTTTTTTTTTTTACAAATATAAGCCTTATCGACAAAAAGTGAAGACTTCAGTAGACGATCAATTCGTCTCACGCGGCTGCCTCGCAGAGAAACACTGAATGAAGACAAGAATGGAACAGTTGGCCTGTGTTGTAAACACACGCTGTATTTATCACCCCGGTCTCTGTTTTATCTCTTCCTGCCTCTCTGAAGGTTTAATCTTCACGGTCAGGCATATCAAATAAAAAGCACACAGAGATACTGTATGAATGCTATCTGTTGGTCTCCTTTATTTTTATTTTTGCAGTCTGTTTTTTCTTTTAGGTGAAATTAAGTCGACTTTGTGAACAAGACAAGATTCTTCAGGAGCTAGAGGCCAGGATACGTGCTTTAAAGGAAGACAAGGTTTTTGTTTTATACTTTATATAATACATGAAGATTTGCTTTTCCCCAAAAAATACAAATGAAATGTCATTGCAACAATTTTTTATTCATTTTGTGAATTAAACCTATTTATAATTTTTTTTTAGATAAAACATGTCTGTCCACTTTTTTAAAGTGCTTTGCTTTTTTACACATTTTGTTTTACACGTCTCTTGTCTCAGGTTAAAAACTTTAACCAAATACAAGCCACTAAAGACTTCAAACTACAACACAAAGAAATGTAAATAAGAAAATGGATGTTAAAATTAACTTTTAGAATTTTCAATCTGTTGTTATTTCAAAGTGTGGCAATATCAATATAGCAAAGACCTGTTTAGATTTAAACAAAAACCATAGGCTGTATGAAATTTCTAATTCTTAATCCCATTCATTTATGCTATTAATAATTTTGACTGGTCCAGTGAAGTCTCAATGTTGATGCTTATGTCCTTTTAGCTAAATGCTAGCTGGATGCTAAAACTCTTGGAGAGTGTTCAGAGCAACATCATAGCAGAAAATAAAACACGTAAAAAGAAAATGTGGATTTATTGTAACTGATATTCTTATCCAAATATTGCAATAATATTATTATTTAATGTTTTTTTTTACTTGTGCAGCTCTGATAATTGTAATCTGAAAGAGAATCTCAGTTTAATTTAATGCATAATACTGCAGAACAAAAAGAGTTAATGTGATTTTGAACTGCTCTTGTGCTATTTTGAAATGTGATTCAATAATAAACAATTCCTTCCTTTGCCACCTTGGACTAGCCTCGCCTGCCAGACTCGCCTTCTTTTTATTCTACACAGAGGACAAGTCTGGATACTTAGTAGAGAGCACCATGAGGGACAGGACTAGCCAGCTCAAAAATAACCAATCAGAAAAAGGGCGGGAATGACGACTGTATCGTGCGACGCTGTAGTTTTTTAGCTGTAGTCAAAGATGGCGTCTGGCAGCAGCTTTCTTCTTGTGGTGGATTTAAAGACCTGTCCAAGTCATTTAGAACGGGAACAACCACAGTGAACTCTGCTTCGGACACCATTTTCGTTGTTTATGCGAAACTGAGCGTCACGGTGTGTGACGTACGCTGCTCACCACTGATTGGCTCGGTTAGAATTATCAGGGGGTGGGGTTATTTGAATGGGAGCATTACCAGGCCTTCTGCTTCCCAGCCTTAGTAAAGAGAAATAGTGTTTACATCCAATGGGACTGATGAGCTAACAGCTAGTCTGTACCAGCTAAGCCCAAACTGTATTGCTGCCAATTAAAAACATCTCAAATGGCAAATGATTTGCATTTGTATAGCACCTTCTAGAGTCCTATCACCTCCATCGCACTTCACAACACAACCGTAACCCACACACACACACACACTGGTGGCAATGAGCTAATTGTAGCCTTGGGGCGCACTGACAGAATCGAGGCTGCCATAAACAGGCACAACTGGTCCCTCTGACCACCACCATCAGGCAACGTGGGTCGAGTGCCTTGCCTAAGGACACAACAACTGCAACAGCCAGAGTGAGACTCGACCCCACAGCCCTCCACTTACGAGGCAGGCACTTATGTCCTCTGCCACTGTCATCCCACAAATAGCAAACATCCTAAAGCAGTTTAATCAATTATTTTTTGTGCTTCGTTTTGTGTGTTTCTTCTAACTGCATGACTTGATCTTATTTAACACAGAAAAGGGTTGTTTTACCTTCATTTTTGCTTTTGTTTCGACCACTCCTGCAGTCTTCTTCAGAGCCCATTGCTGACCAACTAGCAGGGCTCAATTCGTCACTGAGTGACGAGCTCTGAAGAAGACTGCAGGAGTGGTCGAAACAAAAGCAAAAAAGAAGGTAAAATAACCCTTTTCTGTGTTAATCAAATATTATCTTTATAAATCTCTACACCTTTGCTTTAGAAATATTGCAAAGTTGATGATGATGATGATGGGAAGGTTCGTGAAATGATGTTCACATGAATCACTATGACATTTTGGAGGCTGGGCTTTAAGATGGCAGTAACCACTTTTGTCTTTTCTGGTTTGAACTAACCTTTAGCCCATCAATCCTGTCAGACAAATACTCTTTACAGCCATAATATTACTCAATAACATTTAGATGTAAAGACACTACAAAAATGCCAACCTATTCCTTTAAAGTAGACCAACTAGCAGGGCTCATTTCAAATCTAATATTCTCTGAGATGGACAAAATGCAAATCTGTTCAGGTATTCTGCTTCTTCCTAATTAATTTATTTGTTATTTTTACTCTTTATTTTGAACAACAATGCAGAAAATGTAAAATAGCAGCCAGACTACACTGGAGTAATTTAAAGCGTGTCTAAAGGTTTTTTTTTTTAAACATGAGCATCAGCCTACTCTGCTGTCAGGTCCTTAAAGAGTTTCTGCTCTTTAACTGAGCATTTTGTATTTTTTAGGACAAGTTGGAGTCTGTACTGGACGTTTCTCACCAGCAGATGGAGGAATACCGAGATCAGCCAGCTCATGCTGAGAAAATTGCCTATCAGCAAAAACTTTTACAAGAAGATGTGGTCCACATCAGGGCTGAAATCTCCCAAGTCTCCACAGTAAGACCCAAACTATATTTAGATCCAAACTTTAAATGAAAACGTCTTTCCCAACAAATGTCTACATCTTCTCCTCTTTCAAAGTTCATTTAGTCATTTTCTCTGTCATGTGCATTCCATTTTGTGTATAGAATTTTTATTAGTTGAAAACAAGACGTTCACTTCTGCTTTTAGTTGTTCCCTTTTGATGGTTTCTGCAACCAGCTGAGTGTTTCAGGTTCACTGTGACTATCAAAACGAGTGATAAGGGGACAAACCTGAGGCAACAAATACATTTTTGAGAGTATTTTTCTGCCACTTTGGTCAAAATGTTCTCCGATATTCAAAGTATTTAGAGTTTGAAAAGAAAAGGGCGATTTTCAAATAGCGAATCACATAATTTCATTAAAGGCCCAGTAAGTGACTCTCCGAGACATGCTAACGACTAGCCTCTCTGATGGTAATGCCAGCCAATCCATGCTTAAAGTCCGTCGAGGGGGTAGGAAATCCAGCTAGTGGCCAGCCTAGGCACGCTAATGGCTAGCCTCTCCGATGCTAACGCCAGCCTATCCATGCTAATGGTCCATCGAAGAGGTAGGAAATTCAGCTAGTGGCCAGCCTAGGCACGCTAATGGCTAGCCTCTCCAATGCTAACACCAGCCCGTCCAGGCTAACGCTAGCCTATCCATGCTAATAGACAGCAGAGGAAGTGTGTGAACCAGTCAATGACCAGCCGAGGGCTGCTAGTCCCTAGCGTATCTATTAGTAATGCTGGTAAAGGTGCTGTTTCTCAGTAAGCAGCGCCAGCCTCTCAGTTACCGGCGCCAGCTTATCGTTAATCAGGTCGGTAGTTTGCTTCGGAATTTATATAGCCTCCTGTTGCTGGGCAGTAGTCTTAATTTTGGCCCCCATACCGCGCCATACAATACTTTCTCTGAACTGCATGGCGCTAGAGTTGCATTTTTTCATCATGATTTTGATGGATTTCACACATGGGACCTTTAAAGTAAATGAGTGCATTTTAACCTTACGTTTCCTTTAAAGGGCACATGAAGTATGACTGCATTAAAGAAACTTTGGCTTAAAGAAATATTTTCAACATAATTTCTTGTTTTGCTGCAGTACAAAGTGTGTCCTGATCTGTTCTGCAGGAGATGGAGAATGCATGGAATGAGTACAACCAGCTGGAAAGAGACGTAGACTGGTTAAAGTCAGCTTTGCAGAGTCAGATGGACTGCTGTGATCTACCTCAGGTTGTGGCTCTATAACTTCACTAACAGTCATCAGCTTTCATTCATGAGACCAAATCAGTTTAAAACGTTTGTCAAGAGAAATTATTATAGCTTCTGTCTATTCAAAGTCATCCAGACGTCTTTATTTAAATCTTAATTTTAGTTTCAGTTTGCACAGGAACAAGTTAAAGGTGTGGATCACTGACAACCCTTTTAATAATAATAATAATAATAATAATTATTATTATTGTTATTATTTCCGATTATAATCGGTCACTCTGAGTTTTCCATGCAGGCTGAACATGTAACTAGTCTCCTACACCTATCTCCTGCTTTAGCTTCTGAAAGAAAATAGATGGTGAAACTCTAGGATTTGAAAAGCCTGAAAGATCTACATCACACTGCCACTTAACATTCATGGACTCACCCACCCTGGCTTGAAACAGGGAAGGCTGTTGTTGTTTTAGCATCCAGGAAACAGTAGAGAACATCTCAGCTAGTAGAAGCTAACAGCTAGCATTTGCAACTCTGCAACACAGCAGAAGTCCTCCAGGCTTGTGTTATTCATGGAGAAAACATCAACTTTGCACGTCCGTTGTAGAATTATGTAGCTGTTAATCTGAAGCTCTGCTCTGACGTGGCAAACTTCTAGTTCCTGAAACACGCACACACCCCCAAGTACGACTTACAAGCCATTCATTCACACTAGAGACTACTGAAAATGTATTGATTAAACACGTGATCTACAACTTTCATGAGAATGTAAATGTTTTCTTTTGTAAAAGTTAGATTTTTTTTACGTCTCTGTGAGCAGCAGGAAAAGGTTTTGATCAGAAAAGAGCTGTGGAGGATTGAGGATGTGATCGCCGGTCTCAGCAACAGTAAAGCCAATTACAGAGTAACCATCTCTTCTGTTACTAATCCAGGTAAGAGTCTACATGAACTAAGTTATTTAATTAAAATAAATGTATTGTAGTATACAAATAATAGTCATATGTATACAATTATATACATTATATATATATATATATATATATATATATATATATATATATATATATATATAATAAAATATCAGGATATTCATACAATAAAACTACCCTCACAAAAATAATTACTGCTGCACATGTGGTAAATTATAAATTGTGAGGTTATGTGGAATACGTATGAGCATTAAGAGTCCTGCTTGCCTAGAATAAAAGTCAGTGACTTCATTGTAGAGATTGGTGAGAAGGTAAGTGGGAAAAGCGGGATCACTGACGTTATTTCTGTACACAACATTTGTATACATTTGCTTTATTTTTTGACTGGACAACTTTTACTTAGCTATGCTAATTGTTCTAATTGTGACAGTTACATCTAACCTACCAAGTCCACCGGGGGTTATTTAGTCTTACAGAGACTAAACATGTTTTACGTTCCCCAAAAATGAAAGATTGCCTTTCCCTATCAAAATCACTCAGATTGGGGTTTTTCGTGAGTGAAATCTTGAGCGGCTTTAATTAGCATTAGGACAAATACACACAAAAATGGATGCTGTTTAGTAGAGGGAAATTTTTAAAAGTTAAGCAAAAGTGACAACGTGTCAACATTTTTGAGTGTGAGCTTTTACTTTGCAAAATTCCAGCCTGAATCAACCAAACGGGCTCTCTCTGATTGTTCTTTACCATAAAGTTTAAAAAAATAATAACATTTTTTTGTACTCCTACTTTTATCCTACATTACCCTTGAATGTTTCTCACAGGAACCAAAACCACTTTCCCTACAGCACTCATATGTTTATGTTACATGTTCATTCCCATCCCCAGAGAGAAAAATTGTGCCTTCAGTGTCGGTATCATCAGTGCCTCCTGTGTCTGGGAACCAGTCTGCTACAGAGATGAGATTGTCCCAGCAGCAGCATCACACCCCCCACCTCAGCCCAAGTAGCCATGTCCCCACCCTTTCCTCTAGTCCCACGCTGCAGTCATTACACCACTCTGCAACCGTCTTCAGTGGGTTCAAATGGGTGAGGAACCCTGTCATTGTTTTATTTCATAATGTAAAGTGTGCTCTTGAAGTCTGATATAATTTTCTCTGTGTGGTCAGTTATTTGGTATAATCAAGTCTAGTTATATTATTTAAAGAGACACTATGCAACTTTTTCATATTTTTAAATGTTTTTCTTGAGTCAGTATGTGCTAAAATGACCCTTTACAGGGTTAATGAAAGGCCACCCAACCCCTACCGCCCCCTGTGGCTAGAATACTCCACTTGCAAATTCAGAGTGCCGGCTCGGCACTGCAATCTGCTTCCATTGTTTCCTGCATGTTTGAGATCAAAAACACAGCTGATTTGTTTATTTAATGATGACTCATTCCTGTGGACACTTAAGCTTGGTTTATGCTTGACGCATTCACTTTCCGCGCGGTGATGCGGCTCGCGGATGGAACGCGCTTCACAACTCGCAGCTTATATGGTTCATGCGGTTTGTCTCTGCGGTGAGCCAATGTTCTCCCAAACTGAACGGGGCAGCATGGAGCTCTACGGCATGCATCCAACACTACACCATAGTAGAAGTAAAAATTACTGTTTACAACATGGCATTCCAACATTTTTAACAGCGTTCTCGTCTTTTCCGACAGTGCGAGCTATTTCTCTCCAAGAATTATTAACAACATGTTGATCACGGTGATCTCTGAGAGCTGAGTCATACACATGTCTGTATTTACGAACCACTGCCATACTAGTTCTTGCCGGTCCGCCATGTTTTTCCGCGTCCGACCGTCTGCGTGGTTAGAAATTTTCCGAGGTACGCGTTGCGGAAATTCTGGGCTGTGCGGAGATGCGGTGGAGGGGCGTGGTTGTTAAAATGACGCAACTTTTCCATGCGGAGCCGTGCGGACCTCGCGGACGCGTCAAGCATAAACCAACCTTAAGGAAGGCTGGGGAAACATTTCAGCTCTCAGACTAAGGTGTTAAACAAACGCACAGCTATTAGATAGGCTTTGCTTTTGGTTCTACAAACAGACACTGGGGGTGCAAAAAGCCTGCCAAAACTGCCCAGTCTGTCTGTAATTTTCCAGTTTTCAGAACCATCATATATTCTTTTAATTTTTAGGAATTTACTTTTCTGTTAATGTCAGAAGTTACTAGTCACATTGAAATTCAAATCATTAATGTAGCATTCTTGAAAGACAAGTTGACATGTTTTTTTCAGTACTCAACACTTTAAACAGACAAAAGACCTCACGGAAAACACTTTAAAAAATTGTATCAATAGTTTTCAACAGTAAAATTGTTCATTATTGGTCCTTTTTAAGCTTTTTCAGACAGCTCCCACTTGTTGTCTGTGCAGAGTGAAGATGTGCCTCCTAGACCTCCTCTACCTCAGCTCTACAATTTTGAAGAGCATCCCCCTGCTGTGCCACCGTTGCCCCGGGAGACAACAGTCATCAGACATACATCCGTACGTGGCTTAAAACGGCAATCAGATGAACGCAAACGGGATCGAGAGGTCGGCCAATATACAAATGGAGACAGTAAGGTAAATACTTCCGGCTCTTGGAGAGTACAGACACTTTTTTCCTCCTCTCCTCCCTATCTTATCCCAGGGCTCTTTGTCTGTCTTTGGCTGTACGGCGCTTCTGCATTTTTTCTGGAAACTTGAAATTATAAAAAATGGATCTGGTCAGTTGGTCTCTCGACGCAACTGACTAAATTTTTTCAACGATGAGAACGGGAGAAGGGGCTCCCGGATGCCCCTCTGGGACAGAGCCAGCTGGGTATATCATGAACTCCTGGAAGCAGTGGAACCTGATCTGCCTCTCTCAACTGTCTGTAGAGGATTCTGAAGACGTCTGGATATTCGTGGTGTTGGTGTCAGGTTTCTTGCTGTTTGGCCTGAGCGGTTACCTGGCTTACCGGAAAATTAATGAGCTTTCGAGGAATATTGGCTTAATCCCGGAGCTCAGGGATGGGTTGCACCGCGCTGTGAACGCACAAACTCATATAATTGTCGAGATGAGTCGTAAGCTTGGAACTTTGGCTGAGATTCAGGCTCTGGCACAGAAGGTGGATTTGATCAAAGAGAGAGTTGATGGGACAGCATGGTTGGGAATAGATTAATTACGCCATTATTGGATCGAGAGGGGTTGGAGACCAACAGAACTTTAAGACAGAGAGGAAATTATCTCTGTCTGGCCCCAAAACAAGTTCTTATCTGAATCTGGTGCCCTTGAGCCTGTGAGGCTGAAGTGATTACTCCCCCCAGAAGAAATGTGGAATGCTGCTGTCGCCATGGCAACTCTGTCTCCCTATCCCAGCCCGGGCGGGACTGAGACCGGTGAAGGTTGTGGAACCATTTTCAGGAGTCACTGTGCTCTCTAACCCAACTCTCTCCCTCCCCTGTCCAAACGGAGTAGACGAGCGCTGCTCATTGCGGCTGCACGCACTGATGTGTGGCGAGTCCCCAACCCTACCTCCCCACCTAGTGGACACTTATGTTGTGTAATGTCTGAAGTCTGTTGCATTTCTGTCTGAGGTGTTTTTTGCATAGCAAAGCTGCCCTCTCTGTGGAGGGTAACTCTGAAGTGCCTTTTTTTCCTCCACCTGACTCAATCCTCATATAAACCCTCTGATCTCTATTAAGGTAGCGCGACTCGGGTTGCGAATGACCACAGTCACCAACTCATGTCATGTGTCTATGCCTATGTTTGTATGTCTGATCTCAGCATTGTGTGTACTGAAACTCTTAATTTTTCTCTGGGATTAATAAAGTATCTTTGAATTTGAATTGAAATGAAGTGTGGGCTTATGCTTTTTTATTCGGCAGATGTTTTATTTAGTACCTTATCTTTTTGTGTGTCTCTCAGGTGGAACTAAGGCCTTTTCTGAGTGATCCAGAACTCACGGGAGCTGGAGATGGCTCTAGTCACGTCAGTGTTGTAGCTTCTGGGCATGTTGGAGGTTACCAGACATTACCCAGCAGAGGTGCGTGGATTAAAGAGCCAGGTCAACATATATAACCTTTTCTAAATAAGACGATGACATTGAGAACAATGTGTTTTTAATATTTGTTTAATTTTCTGTCAGGAGTAGCTGGCTCCTCACTTAGGCTGAATCATTCTTCAAGCATCTCTTCATATGTGACTCTCCGGAGAGCAACCTCAGCAGCCGGTGTAAAGGTAAGTCCCTTAAAAACACGCACGTGCGTTCACACACACACACACACACACACACACACACACACACACACACACACACACACACACACACACACACACACACACACACACACACACACACACACACACACACACACATACACACACACACACTCACTCACTCACTCACTCACTCACTCACTCACTCAGTCACTTGATTGTTACATCCTTATTTTAAGTAATTTGGACAAAAGCATCGACCGAATGTGTAAACATCTGAGCCTAAATAACAGACAGTAGATCTACTGTAGTACAATGTTCTTATGTAAAAAGGTTAGCACACAGTAGTTTTATTAATAATTAAAAATAATAATAACTATTAGCTAAATATTAATAAAATCTTCAAAAGGTATACATTTTTTACCTACTGGATGTATGTTGAGCCTCGTGTTTCTTTGAACTAGATTTGTTACATGTTTAAACCTTAAAGATGAGCTTCACTTTCACTCCCTCATTAGGTGTGCATTTTTGTTCTCTGTAACTTTTTTGCCATCCGCTGCACCTTTTTGTTCATCTCAACTTTACTTCCTCCCACTCCTCTCAGGAGAGACCGAAAAGTGCCTTGGAGCGTCTGTACTCTGGGGAGAAGATGCAGCCGCAGCAGCAGATGGGGAAGATGAGTGCCGATGAGCAGCTAGAGAGGATGAAGAGGCACCAGAAGGCCCTCGTCCGCCAGCGCAAACGAACCCTGAGTCACGGAGACCGCCACACATCTTCGTCAACCCGATCCTCTTCGTCGCGTCCCCTTTCAGCGGACTTGGGTTCAGTATGTTACTAGAACAATATCGCACTCTCACGCATGACAGCAACCAAACAGAGAGTGGTGATCTGCAGTAGCATGCTTTCACTGAGTGTAGCCACTTTTCTGTTTTACTGACATTAAACTGAATATTCAACCAATTAACTCATTCACTGCCAATGACGTCTAAAGTCGTCATTTGCATTTTTTTTACTGTTTGAGCATCGGAATGAGCCCCTGCGCTGAGAGAACAAACATCTCAGCCCTGAAGCCGATCTTCATCCGCATACATCACACGTCACATGATCAGGAAGCAGACCATCCATGTATTAGGAGATCGTTTTGAGCCGTTTCTGTAAAAAAAAGTGAGGCGCGAACTGGAAAAGCATCTGCCGATCACAACTCAACAACGGATTATGAAAGAACGGATAACGCTCGAAACACACGACTTCTTCCTGATGTAAGAGGTGAGTCTCCGCTTTGTTTTGGTTGATTTGGCATCGACATCATGCTAGTGTGCAACGTTCTGTGACTCTTAAAAAAAACAGTAAAAACGGTGAGAAACGCCGGCAGTGAATGAGTTAAGTAAGTGCAGTTTTGTTTTGCAGTGATTAACGTTGTGCATGCGTGTCTTTTCATGCATGTTGTTTTCATTCATCGAATTGATGTTTTGACCCTTTTCACCACGGATATTCTGTCTAGTAGTTATGTGAATTTGGCGCCATTTAATCTGAGACGCTCTGCATGACTGAGCGCTGACACAACAGGAATTCCCTAAACCTACAAATCTATTTAATTAATTTTAATTATTATCATTTTGGATGCTAAAGTTACTTCTGTGCAGAAAAGGTAATAACAGCCCAGTGTGCATAGTGTGCTTGGATATTTACGAAGGCGGTTTAACGTTGTGTGAAAATCATTTAAGTGACTTAAATTTTTACAAGTAACTTATCTTGCTATGTGAACAAATAATAACTAATTACCCCACAAATCATCACTCAGTTATTAGTTATTACTTTAAACCATTTAAAGATGTCGTAGACATTTCTCAAACCCATCCTTTTCTAAATAATAATAAATAATTCTTTCATTCTTGTTTCTTCCAAACTTTTTACTCCCATCTCTTCTGTTCTTCCAACTCATAAAAGCTTTAGCCCATTTTGTTTGAGGTATTTAGATTTTAGATGTTCCCATTTCTCAATTAAATGCCATCGCTGCTTTGTAGTCCCTATGTGTAAATCATGAATGTGTGTGTGTTTGTAGGAGAAACAGAGAGAGAGAGAGAGAGAGAGAGAGAGAGGGATGGAAAGTTGCTAATCAATATTTACTGATCAAAACATTAATAATTATAGTAAAGTTCCTCCATTTAACACTCATCATAGCATTCTCCTTGGTGCCTAGATGAAAAGAAAAATTTGGTGTGTGATTATGAATCACGACTGACTGTTGTCCCATACTTCCACCTTTTGAAAGAAACTATTATATTGAAGCAATACTGAAGCGATTAACATCGTTTTAATATCAAAACGGCTCAAGTGTTTTCTTGGTGTTTTTATCTGCTAATTAAAAAGAACTTTTATCCTTTTCAAATGTGAATGTTACAAAAATAAACAATATTTTCTAAAGAACTCATTTTGCCATGTTTTTTTTAGTAATTCGTTTTTTTTTTTACCACGAGGACACCAAATATTTGGATGTTTGCCGTCACCAGTTTGAATGAAGCGTTCCTTCCCGTGTTGATGTTCACCTCAGTGTGCTTTGTTTTGAAAGCCTTGCCGTCCATATAAACACGCATGTTCATCTACGCGTGTGTCCTGTGTATTTTTCTCAGCTCTGCGCATCGGCATGACAAAAGAAAATCTGCAGGTCATGAGATAAATTTAGGGTCAAAAAATTTTTGCTGTAGAAAATTTGCTGCATGAACACGAAGATAAGGAGTCAGTTTTACATTTAACAATTGCGGCCTGTGATTTGTTTCACTCTCTGTATCTTTCCTGTGTGCGTTGTCCAGTGGAAGAGAGAGCAGGAGTTTGACCTGCAGTTACTGGAGAGAGCAGTTCAGGGGGAGGAGGCTCAGGCAGTTAGGAGCGTCCAGGGTGAGGAAAGGCCTCCTGAGCACAAAGAGAGACCGCGCTCGCACTCTGATGAATGGCTGACCTTCCACACTGCGAACACATCGCCCCCCACCAAGGAGGTCGACTTAGAGCCACTGGACTACGACCTGGACCTGAACAAAGAGGTAACATTGATTTCTTATCTAGAAAAAACAAAACACAGCAACAGTGGAAAAAAGGTAGATAGAAATAAACATATTCATGTCCTCAAAAGTGATCCTGTTTGCATTTGGGAATTGCAAAATATGGTTTACTCCTAAATCAGTATGACTTACTCTCTGTATCTTGCAGGAAATGACATAAAAATCTTTGATGAAATTAAATATGACATCCACATTTTCTCACTTCAAAAATGTAATTTAATAATCTAAAATTGTTTATTGGTCATATGTGGTGAAATGCCATTTAGATTGAGTTTGAAGGTTCAGTAAGTCAAAATTTAAATAATAATTTTTTGGTTGTTGGCTCATTTTTGAGCCAAGTTTGTTACCCAATTTGGATATCACAGTGATCACATTTGATAAAATAACATTAAAAATGAACAATGCTTGTTTCAGTTTTAGGCAACTAGACTAAATGAACTTCCAGGTTTGTTGTCCTCTTTTCAAAGCTGCATTTTGTTGTTGAATTCATTATAAAACATAGAACTTTGAAGAAAAGACTGACGTTAGGTGCACAACAGATGAACAGCGGCAGCACTCAGCATAAAAAGGGATTGTGTCCTTCACAATGTTATCGTGAAACAGGATAAATTAATTTCTGCAAGATGAGAGTGCCTTTGAAAGCAAAAGGTGTTTGTGGTGCAAAACTGTTGGGAAATGAGCAGCACAAGAGAGCACTGACGGTTTAAATATTATTTTTTTACGTGTGGCACTTATGATCTTTACAGAGCTAATGCACTGAGAAAACATGTTAAACTTATTATTTTTGAAAATGATCAGTCATACTGAGATTAACATGCAGAAAGAACATGAAAATAGTCTCCTACACCTATCTCATGCATTAGTTTCTGATGGTGAAACGCTAGGATTTGAAAATCCTGACAGACCAACATCACACTGATACTTAACATTCATGGACTCACCCATCTTGACTCATGACAGGAAAGGCGGCTGTTGTTTTAGGGCCAGGAAACAGCAGAGAACATTGCAACTAGTAGAAGCTAACCGTTAGTATTAGAAACTTGTGTTTGTTGTGGAGATCATAACATCTCATTGCTGTCAACCAGTCCGAGACGAGATGTACAAATATGAGGGAATAAGACTCCAAATCATGTCGTCTGAAGCTACTGTCTCTTCTGACTGAATTTTTGTGCCTAAACAGGTGCACCGGAGCTTTTTTCTCCTAAGTATGACTTATAAGGCATTCATTCCTACTACAGACGTCCTCAAATGTATAAAAAATATTAGAAGGACCTCTTTAAAATCTGAAACAATCATTTCAAAACCTTTTTTTTCCCAGATTGAACAAAAAATAAATCATTAAATATTGAATAGTTTTTCATTCATACTAAATAGTATTTTATATTTAACTTTGTGCATCAAATGGCAATTTGGAAATCACCATTGTTAGGGTTAGGGTCAACGCAAATAAGCGAGACACAGACATTAACGGTGATGGCATTGTTCTTCCAGCTGTCCAAACCTCAGAAAGTGTTGATTCCAGAGCGCTACATAGATTCAGAGCCAGAAGAGCCACTCAGCCCTCAGGAGGTGGAGGAGCGGCATCGGAAGGTTGAGCGCATCAAAAGCATTTTGGCCAAGTCCAGGTACTTCTAGTATAGTTTAAATTTGCTCAACCATTTTGTTGTTGATCTAGAACACGAGATTCTGGAGTTTCAATTGATCCAAAGGATTGAGAAGAATTTCTGACCCTGAAAGAAACAGAATAAAAACAAGGCTGTTAATTTTTTGCTTGTTCTTCCCTTTAGTTACTCATAAAATAGATTTATTTGTAGTTGTGTCTGTAAAGGTTCTCAGTCATCCAGGTCATTGTAGTCTAATGAGCTTTGAAACCCTCACACCTTGGCTCATGTGTTTATGTAGAAGATCATCAGGGGGCCTTTTGTTCTCTCTTCGGGGGGAAACTCCCACTGGGTTTAAATCTGGGACTCTCCACCATTTGACCTTAGAACTGAAGAAGCCTCTCGGATGAGCAAGCAACTCAAAGAAGTCCAGACGTGTTTCTTTCAAAGTTTATTTGTAGTTCTTCTAAAAAACTTCTTTTTTGTATGAAAAATGATCACAAATGCTGCCAGTAAAGTTTGCATAATCACTGCATTGTGTTTATTGATTCATTTTAATTCCTCTCATGAGCAGCGTGCAAAACTTAGCGCCAGCGGTGACTGTGGACAAACCCGACGTGGGTTTGGTGGAACTGGACTCAGCCTTGCAGGAGCAGGAGAGGATCATCACCATGTCCTACGCTCTCGCCTCAGAGGCTTCGCTCAAGAGCAAACTAGTAGCAGGTTGGTCCTCTGCGTCGTTTTGAATTCTTTTCTGACCGTTTGAGCCTCTTTAAGTGGAGGGTGAAACATTACTCCACCGAAACAATTGTAAAAATAATCAGTGTGCCTTTCAGAGAGAAAAAGGAAAATGTAGCGATGCTGACAGTTTGTATAAAACTTCTCCTGTCATCAAAAACGGATGTATTTTGGGTGTGGAAGAAATCAAGTGAGGAAAGCAGCCTTTTAAGAATGCGGGATTGATGAAGGGTGTGTGTGTGTTTGTGTGTAAGGTATGGAGTCAAGCAATAAGGCTGTTCATTTCCTAATAACTGAATATTATTCCTTATTAGGAGCTCAGATAGTCTCTAATTGCAATCTGTGTAGAGTCTTTTAGGCGGGAGGAATCGCTTGATGAGGCCATTTTGTGTGCTGATCAATGACCCAGTCAAACTCGGCTCTCCATCTGCATGCCTCTGCTGCCGCTTTGAACGTAGCTCTGAACCTGCATAAAAGACGCCACGCTCACATCTCATCTCTTTCATACTCCACAGCAGACAGGCGAGTTAATTTTCACTTGAGCTGCAGCAGATTGTCAGTCTGTCTGCCTTATTCACACACACACACACACACGCTCACAAGTATATCTGTCACACACGGTAACACTCAAGCTGTCAGTGTGTGTGGAAGCTTAATATGCACAGTGAAGCAAAGTCAACAATTATAACATTATTTCCAGCATAGAGAAATGCCAGAGAATATAACTGGTGGCATCTCGTCAGTGCAGACTGAATCAATGACTTTCTCTCCCTTTGGTGTTAAAGTGAGGTCTGCTGGTGCACTTTCAAACTCATGAATTTAAAGAAGAGGCTTTTCGCAGCAGTGTGCATGACAGACTTCAGTGCTGCTGCCATGAAAGAAGTAATATTCATCATGGCAATTACACAGCGCCTATTACAAAGGTGCCTGTGATTGTCGGATCTGCTATTCGAAACAGAGGAATAATTTGGCCTTTTGTGACAACATGTCAGGGATATTAAGTAGCTAATTTTGTGCAGGTAACTGATATATTCTGGGGAAATAAATCTGTGAGTTGTGTCTCTGAATATTAATTTTTTTTTTCCTCTTAAAAGCAAGTCAACCCCAAATCAACTTTTTGGCTGATAAACTATATAAATGAGTGTCTAATCATGCTGAAGACATGTGTGGGCCCTCTAGTGCATCTTAGTTAAAATTAAAATCAGTTTAAATGCATGCTTAGTGATGCATTGATCAATATTAGCATTAGTATTAAGCAGTTGTTAAAACTGTTTTTGATAATTTATTAATGCTTAATAATAGACTAAGTAACATTAATAAGGGGACCCATGTTGTAAAGTGTTACCAAACACTCTTACTTTCTATTCAACTTCTTTTTGTTCTTCTATACTTTATAGGCCCCTCCCTATTTGAGCGAAAGCCTCCATTTCTACCACCCCTCTCGTGCTCTTAGGTCTGCAGATAAACTCCTCCTCACCGCTCCTAAGGCGTGTTTGAGGGCTCGCGGGGAAAGGGCTTTTTGTATCTGTGCCCCAAAACTTTGGAATTCACTACCCTTTCCGGTTAGACAAGCACCCTCTCTTGCCATCATTAAATCCAGTGAAAACACATTACTTCTCCACGGCCTTCGACTCTTATCATCAACAGCTTGTCGTGGCTCCTTCCACTGTAGTTTTCCCATCTTAAATCTGTGGTCTGACTACTTTTAATAATTGTATTGTTTTTGTTTGTAACCCTTCTTTGTTGCCTTATTTTTAAATTGTTTTTATGACGCAGCTATTTTATGCTTTTGTTGTTTTATTTTGTGCAGCGATTTAGTTGGTTGTAATGCCACGTTGAAAGCGCATTTATAAATAAAATGGTATGGTATTATGATCTCTTAGCATTTTCTATTGCTACTTTCATTACTGTTTGTCTTATGCTACCGTGCAAAGTGCTGTTTAATGTTTCTCAAATCCATTTTGTCTTAAGATCCTAAATAAAACATTGTAGGGGTTTATTAGCACATCTCCAACTCTCCAGGTTTTGATCAACACTGTTTAAAAAACAAAAACATTTTTTCCCCACACCATGTGAAATGTTGTAGACTGAACCAAAATTTGATGCCCAGGGAAAAACAATTGAGATTATTCTTCCATAACCTTCACTGGAACTAAACACACACACACACACACACACACACACACACACATATATATATATATATATATATATATATATGTATATATATGTATATATATATACGTATATGCATATATATATATGTATATATATGTATATATATGTATATATATACGTATATGCATATATATATATATATATATATATATGCATATATATATACGTATATGTATATATATATATGCATATATATATACGTATATGTATATATATGTACCGTAAATCCTCTAATACAGGCCCGGGCCTGTATTTGACTCAAGCTCATCAAGCTCCAGGCCTTTATTGGAAGGAGGGCCAGTATTAGAGGCAGGCCTCTATTTCTATTTGAGCAAAATGAACTAATGGCTCGCTGGAGTTTTTGACAATTAAAATTGCGCCCACATTTTCAAAGTTAAACACATTTCTTTTAACAACGGTAGTTTCTGCTTCAGCCCTCTCCCCCCTCCCCCTGCGCAGCGGCCACAAACTCACTGATGCGCCTGCAGCCTCTTAGAGTTCCTGCTGCTCTAAACATTAAAATAATTATTTCATTTTGCAACCAGCAGGTACAAAAACTAACTTGTTTTTATTTGACTATTTTTCTGTCCTGTCTGTTTATTATCTTCCTGCATCTCCTCTCAATCCTAAAGAAAGACTGCTACCTGGGTTCATATATATTGACCTTATGAGTTACCTTTGAACTGCAGTTCTAAAAGATTTACCGACCGCAAAAACAGCGGAGTGCTCGCTGCTCGCCGACTGCATCAGTGATCGGTGCGTGCGTCACCGGATGACAAGTTGATGCGCCCCGCTCCACAGCAAAACGCATCAGGCACAAATAAAAGACAGAAAACATCAAAGGAAATGAACCGACATGAACGATCGCGTGTTAAATAATTTGGCAACACCTGATTGTTACTGTGGCCGTGCTCAGGAGGCAGATTACCGACCGCAAAAACAGCGGAGTGCTCGCTGCTTGCCGGCCGTTTTAGTGATCAGTGCGTCACCGGATGACAAGTTGATGCGCCCCGCTCCACAGCAAAACGCATCAGGCGCAAATAAAAGACAGAAAACATCAAAGGAAATGAACCGACATGAACGATCGCGTGTTAAATAATTTTTTGAGGTGGCGAAACCTGATTGTTACTGTGGCCGTGCTCAGGAGGCAGATCTACAGACCGCAAAAACAGCGGAGTGCTCCGTACTTGGCGGGCGCATCAGTGATCGGTGCGTCACCGGAGGACAAGCTGATGTGCCCCGCTCCACAGCAAAACGCATCAGGCGCAAATAAAAGACAGAAAACATTAAAGGAAATGAACCGACATGAACGATCGCGTGTTATACGTGGCGACACCTGATTGTTACTGTGGCCATGCTCAGGAGGCAGATCTACCGACCGCAAAAACAGCGGAGTGCTCCGTGCTTGGCGGCCGCATCAGTGATCGGTCTGTCACCCGAGGACAAGGTGATGTGCCCCGCTCCACAGCATGCAGCGAAACACATCAGGCGCAAATAAAAGACAGAAAACATTAAAGGAAATGAACCGACATGAACGATCGCGTGTCAGTACCTACGCTCTGGCACAGCCTCCTCTTCGTCTCCGCACGGTTAAAGTTACCCTCGCGGTCTGTCACTGGCAAATCAAAAGTGAGACGATGACACAACCGCCCCCCGTACTTGCTTGTTACCACATTCCACCCGGCCACAATAAGAGGCCGGCCTTTATTCACCTCCGCCGACTCCGACACCGGCCAAAATTGGAGACCCGGCCTTTAATTGAATACCGGCCTGTATTTGAGGATTTACGGTGTATATATATGTAAATATATGTACAGTATATGTATTTATATATATAAAGGTACATATGCTTTTCTGATGTTTTACTATCGTAATTGTGTATGTTGATATTGTTGTATGTTGATATTGTTGTATGATGACAAGAAAGTGCAGAAACAGTTTAATCATGTTTCCTCTTGGGTCGGCTACCTGAAGCTTCTTATTGACCAGCACAAGTGACTAACAACCTGTTCTATTTCTTTTCTCTCTCTCTTCTCCTTTTGTCCTCTCCTTGTAGTTCCACCACAGGTTAACATGCCTCCCCCTCCTCCCCCACCCCCTCCTCCTCCACCACCACCTCCTCCTCTTCCTCCAACTGTATCGGCAGCGCCTCCCTCTCCTCTAAACAATGGAATTCACTACACTTTTGTATGAAATGAAAACTAAAGTAAGACCTATCTGCATGTTTCATGGTTGCTAATCTTTCACTGCTGGTCTCAAACAGACTTGGTGGAGTTTGACTGCATGCGTGCTGCTCTGTTGTGATTGGACGAGAAGCATCTTGTCTGGATTAGGGAAGCTCTGCCTCTTCTCCCATTATAATCAAAATAAACATCTGCAGGCAGTCTGCCCATCCCACTGTGATAATCGTCTGTAAATTGTTCTTTTCTATTTTTTCTAATACCACTGCCAAAATATTTATAGATGGCTGAGGGAAGGAAGGTCTCAGAAGAACATGACTGTTTGTAGCATTGTGTGTAATTAACAAAAAGAGACACCTTTTGATTTAGCACCTTGACAGCACAGCTGCATTCCTCAGCACCAATTAGCTCCCCATCTGTAGCTTGGCAGCAAGATGTAAGAAATAAATAAAACCTCAACATCACTGTTGTTGCTGAAGATGCACAAAGACAGCTTGTCTCAATTTTTTCAAAGTGCAAGAAAAAAAAATCATCCGTCTGCAAATGCAGGCTAATATTTTATCATGTCATTAATCATTCAATAATTTATCCAGAAATCCTCTTTTGATTGTAAAGAAAGTCTTGAATAAAGTTCTGTTCTATTAGGTTCGAGTAAAATATACTCACATGGGAACGTCTAGAACAGGGGTGTCAAACTCATTTTAGCTCAGGGGCCACATTGAGGGAAATCTAGTCCCAAGTGGGCCGGACCGGTAAATAAAAAAAAAAAACAACTTCAGATTGTTTTCTTTGTTTTAATACAATCAATATGAAACAAGGCTGGAGCCTGAGGACAGTGAGTACAAGTACAACACCTGAAGTGTACTTGAAAATTTGAAAAAAAAAAATTTAAAAATCAACAAATAAAAAAACATTCCTTAGTGATTCAAAGAGCTTACAGATCACATGGCTAGATCAGTTTCATGCAGCACTTAAAGTATATTTGACTCATTTTACTTTACATCTTTTAGCTTTCACCAGCACATCAACATCAGAAGTCACATCCTGAGTGGCAGCCAACTTCAGGATGTGATTCAAGTTCTTGTGTGAGCCTTGAGCGCAGCTTTGTTTTATTTATACTCATTACAGAGAAAACTTGCTCACACTGATAAGTTTATTTTCACTCTACCTTGTAAAGTATGAAAATAAAGTTTTCACAACCATCTCGCGGGGCGGATTTAACCCACTTGCGGGCCGGATCCGGCCCGCGGGCCGCATGTTTGACGCCCCTGATCTATGAAATACAACCATACATAAATAGCGGTCTGCAATCTTTACAATCCAAAAAGCCATTGTTTCTTTTCATTCCACATGAGTAAAATCTGTTAAGAGTTACAGGACGTTTTCAAACGAGACCATTTTTGACAAATATCTCTGGTAAAGGGTTAGGGCCACTGGAATAAAAAATTTTGATTTTAGATTTAGAATCTAAAAATAAAGTCAAAATTCTAATGTTAACTTCAGAGTTTTTTATTTAGCTGTCTTTGTTTTTATTATGTTTTATTTGTTTTACTTGTTTTTATTCTGTTCTCTTGCTTTGTTGGGTCTGAAGCACCTTGGTGTCATTTTTATGCCGGTTAGGAGCTTTATAAAGAAGTACTGAGTCAGATGGCCTCTTCTGTAAAAATAAAATTGACTAAGAGATTTTTTTTTGACAATTTAGAAAAAACAAATAAAAAAAATCTGGATTTTAAATTAAGAAAGCCATAAAACCATAAATAGAGCTAAATATTACTCATATGTTTTGTGTCATTTATTGCCATCAAACCCAATGCAAATATTGAATTGAGCTGAATTGATCTGATCTGAATAGATTTAAATTGAATTGAATTGAATCCTTTATTTTTATCATACTGTGCGTGACAAAATTATAGCAGCTCTCACCGACACGTCCTCAAAGAAAAACGTCACTTGTATAAACTAAAGCTGTTTAATTTAGCATTTTTTGAATCCATATTTGAAAACATGAATAGTTTTTGTGGAAGGTCCACTTGTGGCTCCAGAGCTGCAGTTTGCAGACCCCTCCCTATACCAGACATAATGAGAACACATTTGTTATAGGCAACGGTTCTTGTGGCCAAAAAAATAAATACATTCCAGCCAAAAACCCAGATTGTGTTAAGAAACATTCTTAATCTTGTCACCCTGTTTTAATTGCTTGACTGTTTTTGTTATGATTGTAGGAGAAGGTGAGAGATGCAGTGAAGGAAACATCCTTACAGCATAATAAACTTTAAAATGTTGGTGTTTAAAGAGTTCATTTATGTGAAAATATTTTGAACCTTGTTGCTGATCAGTATTCTGCAGGTTTGGGACCCCTGCTGTAAAGCGTCATAAGTCCAAAGAAGTGTGCAGCTGGATGCTTTTCTGTGCATTGTTTTTCTCTGTGCGATATTCTACTTTATCCAATTTTTTTTACTGAAAATAAACCTGCTTGAGTGGGCTGTAAAAGTTGCCAAACTCCTTCAAACTTCTTTG